CTTTTTGTTGTGATTGTGTAGTACCTCATGACTTTGTGGATTTTCGAAGTTTGATGAATTGCATGGGTGGTGCAGAGCTAAGCCATGTGAGCCATATGCCCTACGCAGCGAGGAACTGCGGGGTGCGCAATCGCGACCAGATATCAGGCTTTTCGATGTTCAAGATTGTTTCAACTATCGGGAACCTCTTCTGCCTGTTGTACTGTCTTACGGCTTGAACTTCATGTACTGGCTATTTGCGATTCTTAGAGCGTTGCGAGAATTTTGTTGTCTCTTCACCATTCCCATTTCTGAGCTACTACTGTGGACACAATTTCATCAATGTCCTAAGTTGTTTGAACAATTGAGGATTCGGCGTTCCTCCTAAATTTGAGGCCGGGCTTTATGCGCGCAAGATACATGGGATTAATGCACTATGGCCGGTGTCGAGATTTCGTGTCTTTTCCCCCAAGTCCACATTTCAGCCACAGGCACGTTTTCAATGTCTGGGATCATTTCAATGTCTGGAATCGTTTCAACGATCAAGTGGCCTGCATTTATTCACGTTTTAACTTTAACTAGAGAGGCATGACGTTGCAGGATTTCAGTCGTGGACAGTTGTACATTCGACCGCCCAGGTACGTTCGTCACCATTCAAACCCCGGGCGTAAGACCAATCACAACTTTCGACGTCTTAATCATTACTGTTCAATTCAACAACTCGAATAATTTCTCGACAGATACAAATTAATATTCTCTCTTCATGTATGTATCACTATATTCATACAAAAATACAATTACCAATTGGTAAGGAGGTGTTATTTGATTGTACATGAATTCCACATGGTAACTAGTATGTTTAACAAATTTCTCTATTTTTATATCTTCAGAATTTCGAGCCAGGTGAGAGTCCAAAATTGTTTCCGTTGAGTATCTTGGTAAGCGAGTGTGGGTGGTTTTCCCTTACATGGCGTTGCCAAACTTGCATCCCAGGCGTCAAACAGCAATTCAATGTCTTCTTGAATATGAAACATTGGTAAATACATAAGGTAAAAGGGATGGATCTTGATGTGGTCTCCTTTGGATGCGAAATTTCATTCTTTACCAAAGAGGATACTACCTAGCTACCGACCATAATACGTCAGATAATTGCGATGGTTGGGCGAGGCAAAAAGACTAATACTTGAGTTTGGTTTTGAGCAGTTATTGTTGGTGGAAGTTGGAGAAGGAATGAACTTTGTGGGGAGAGACAAACGTGGTATACGACATGGGGTTAGGTGGTATCAAAGAATGCTCGGAAATATCGAATCGTACTATAGGACTAATGGAAAGACTGCTGGTACCTTATTCACCGCTTGCCTGATGTCCCTTTGTGTTGTACGTGCGTGACAGAATGCTTAGACCAATAAATCTCAAGTCGCGCTTGTCGGCAATATCTTTGAGCTTCCTCTGACTTCATCATCTAGAAAGCTTCTTATCAAACAACCTCAGAATCTTAGGATCTTAGAATCTCAGAACACCACAACTCAACCACAACATGGCATCCTCTGACGACTCTTCGGATCTCTCCTCTGTACCATCTGAGGATGAAAGTTTACAATTAACAAAAAAAGATGGCATTCTTAAATTCTTCTCAAAAGCCCCAAAACCAACTGCTGCACGTAAAATTGAGGCTTCTCCACCACGACCAAAGAGAGAACCATCACCACCTCATGAATATGTTCTAGCAGATAATCCAGATATCGCCGTACGTATAACTCTTATCGTCGCGTACTAGAGGACTTTACACGTACAAATCGCGTAGTTGCGGTGTTCAATGGTCGCTAACACAGATTCTATGCAGTTTATCGTCATGTTCCGTGCCCGGTTCACTGAAGTATTCCCGAAATCTTTACCCAACTTTGGACCCCAAGAATTGGAACACGCTATTGTTGGTACCACGCCTGGGGAGCATGCGGAACAATTTCTTTGCGCATTATTGGGGCTTCTCTTAAATAGAAAGCAGGATGTGAAGTAGGTCATATTTGCGACATGTGTGCTGTGGCTCGCACAACTTCCAAGTTTCTGCAGAATCAATAGCTAATCACTTACCGGACATAGAGCTGGACATTATAACCGTGCTCTCGAGGAAGCCGTTCAAACACATAAACTACAATGGGCGAAGGATTGGGAGAGCAAGAACCCTCTTTCTGGAGGGGCAACGTTCACTTCTATGTCTCCCACAGAGCGGGTAGGTCACTCATCCATTGTCTACGGAATGATTGAACCTTGCTGATTTTGAACTATAGCTTACTCTATTACGTACCCTCATACTCTGGTCTTTAGCCTCCTCCGATGTGGTTAAAGGTATGATTACAGCCTCTTACAAGCAAACTCGCCATGAAGATGATTTGAACCAACCACTTTCTGTACAACCTTGGGGATCAGATGCCGATAGACGCCGTTACTATTTAGTGGAAGGTCTGGACGACACACACTTTAGAGTTTACAGAGAGAGCAACCATACCGGCTTGAAGAGAACTTGGTGGAGCGTTGCAAGTGATATTGATGAGTTGAAATTGTTAGCAGAGAAACTAGTCAAGGACGATGGTGGTCAAAAAGCCCGAACGTTAAGTGGGAAAATGCTTGCTGCAGTTCCACGTTTCGAGGCGACCGAAGAGGTATGGCTTTGCTAGTCTCAATACTATCTCTTATTTTCGGATTTACTAACAACTTTACAGAAACGAAAGAGAAGAGAATATCGACAAGCTCGCAAGGAGCAATTTAAACGTCCTGAACCAAACTTCTCGATGTATGAAGGTCGTACCAGAGGAAAGCGCATGAAGTACACATATTCGGACGATGAAGATGAGGGGTTTTCTGACACTACCGGATCCCGTCGTTCTACTCGAAACACTGGCAGCCACACCCCAGCTGAGCCAGCAGGGCCTACTGTTACATTAAGTGGCCGCCAGGTCAGATCTCGCGTTGGTGGAGTGTATGGTGAAAGTATTATCGGTGGAACGCATGCTGCTGTAGATAGCCGTGGAGATGTCGAACTGGGTGAAGAGTCAGAAGACGTAACTTCTAGGCCACGCCGTGCTGGTGCTTCCAGTCGCAGTCGCGATTGGGCTTCTAAGGAAAAGCACATTGAGGGATATAATCCAGTGGACGAAATGGACGACGACGAAGAGGATGATGCTAGTGAGCAAGATTATGGCGATGACGAGGAAGATGACGACCAAGTATCTCTAGCAAGCGATATTGAGGAACTCGAACAGGAGCGGGCAGAGGAGACCGATGAAATCGAACAAATGGAGGATGACGGAGAGGAGAAGAAGAGCCTAATTGTCAAGCTCCCAGTCAAAACTCCAACCCCGGAGCAGAAGAATACGATCAAACTCAATCTGAGCCCACAGTCTAAATCAAATTCGGACAGCGTGGCTCCTCGACAGGATTCAAGCCCGCCTACATCTACGGAAGTCACCAGTGAAGGGAAGGCTATTTCAACTGAAGCCGATAAGAAAATCAAGCCGATTTCCATCGCAACGAAACCAATTCAAACTCAACTTTCCCCTACTCTCACTTTCCGTGGTAGCCCTGAGAAAGCTTCCACCCTACCACCGTCAATCAATGTCGGCTACGGTGGTTCTTAATGTTATAATACTTAATCATGATAGCGGGTATGGAAAAAGGCGTAATTGTTGACAGAAGGCGTAAAGATAAAGGGAGGTTGATTTGCTTGAGTGAGAGCTACTAGAGCTGAGCATTGGGTATACCTAAGTTCTTTGATATACATAGTTATCTTCCAAGGCATATTAACGTAAGTATTTATGCTAGCCTTAGCTCATGACAGAATGGAGAAAATCTCATAGCTATTACACTATAATTTTATGCCTACATGTATCTTCTCCATCCTATCACGATCGATCTTAGAGGAGTCTGGTACTTGTAGATTGATAGATAATGTTTTGTGATGATGGGTCAACTTGGTCTAGAACTTTTTGCTATCCCAGTATATCAAATGCAATCTCACAATGTGTAGTTCCATCTACTTGAAGACCTTAATATTTAGACCAGCATTCTTCAATGGATTGCCCCAAACGCCGTCCATGCAAATACCAGTTCCTGTTCTCAAAACACCTCGCTCATGATTCATCAGCTCAATCTCCTGCAGAAGCTTGAGTCTTATAATACTGCCCAAATCCATCAGCAACGAAAAATTAATAAAGCATTGCGAGGGGACTCACATCCCCCAATTCCGCCGCCAATTTCGCATTCTTTCCGATCTCTGCTATCTTCTCCTTGATCGGCCAGTTGTTAACCGTGTACCACCATCGACGGACTCGGGCGCCGGCACTGTTGCCACTAAGTTTGGCATTCTTGTTCCAGTGCTTCCAGCCAGCCCAGAGGAGGGTCACAGCAACACCCTGAATGAGTGGCATGCATAGCTAGGCATAAGAATTAGTCTGCGTATTCCGCATTTTTAAAATGAAGAATAGATAGCTATTGAGAAAGAAAAAACATACTTGATCTCTAATCGTTATGAAAGCAATCTTCCAATATGAATCCGCATGTGCAATACTAGCTAGATAACTCTGCTCAAATCGCAAATCGGGTATTGGTGGGAAACTCGCACGCCGTGGTAATGGTCTTATAACATCATAGGGAATATCTTCTATTTCTTCCTCGCCATCGATACTATCTTTGTCATCGAATGCGTAGTCTGGATGAACAGTTACGGGCTCTTTGCTGGAGGCAGCAGTAGTGGGATTTATGTCATGGTTGGGAGATGGATCTCGCTTTATTGAGGCACTCTGGATTGTAGATGCTATTTCGAGGGGCGCAGAGGAAGACATTGCAAAATAATGAAATTTATTGGTGTAGATATCTGAACTTCAATTTCGTGGTGTTGATAGCTTTGAAGTTGCTCGGTGGAATTTGCCGGACTCCGAGGTTCTGATTATGCTGTGCTGTAATATTGGTGAAATGAGCAAAAAAATCACATCACTGACATGAGATACTCTTTTTTCTCACATCGATATCCAACTAATGTAATTCAGAAATCTATGCTTTTAAAATTATCTACACTATCTATATCTTTTCATCATCATCTATGGTTTTCGTTCGACGTAAAGGTGACTAGAGGCTTCTCTCGAGTATCACAAAATTGTTGTCTAACATCTCAATTGCATGCTTCTCCAAACCGAAATACTGATTTCGATATCAGCTACTCCAAAAGCCACGGCCTCAAACATTTAACAGTGTTCGGGTGATCGAACTGCATAGACCTTCAGATAAGATGTTTCAATATCTGAAATAATTCAATGTTCGAGGCGGATCCAATCTTTTAAACAATTTGAAAGTTTCGATTGTGTTCAGGAAATGGGAGACCTTTCGAAGTTGATGTCCAGTCCGGGCGATTGAAAGCCCCGGTGGTGCTTGCTTTCAGTAAATGATGGTACTTAATGGACCACTCACTATATTGGCCGAGAAAATACAGAGTTTACCATGTTTGTGCAAGGTTATCGGAACCTACAGGTGCTTGCCCCTGGATGGAAAGCAACGTACATCACACAGCTAAGCAGACTAGGTATGTACTCTGTCTATTGGTTACACGCCATCTGGGCCAAATATATAGGGTACTTGTTACTTCACATGCTAGCTCGAGAATTCACAACATTAAACTTCAGGTCATTCCCCAGATCATCCTATATTGAATTTGAATCTCCACTCTCTCACGCTTTTGCTTCATTTCAACACAATGCCTCAGAACTCTGAAAATGCTTCTTCGGGGATGCCTTCCCCATACGGCAATCCCGTAGCCATCAAACACCAACAAAAAGCCAACCCTGATTTGCCTGACCACCGCTACCAAGTTTTTCAGAAATCTCTGCTTGAGCATGAATACCATCATGAGGAGGCATTCGTGTCTGCTAGTCTCACACGCCTTCATCATGGAATCTACGATGCGGAGAAACGATTGAGTCTCTACGGAGCTCCGCCACACAATGTTACCTTTGTAGCCATTACGTTTGTTTTTCATCCCATGCACTCGGTTGAGTATAGATTTAAAAGAGCACAGATTTGCATCCAAGCTTTTAAGAATATCGGGGAGAAGACTACAAATCAACCGCTGAGGATTATCAAATTTGCTCCACATATTGCTTTTGGCCGATATTCGACGGAGAACTTGCATTGGACTTTTTCCTTGGGTTAGTGGTGAAACTATACTTTGATGACATCAGGACCACATGAATTTGGTCGAGCAGTGAGAGATGCTCATGCTTAAATCGCAGTTTGCAGTAGTGCAGATTGCAGTTCAGATTCGAAACGCCACGAACCTCTTTAGACAGGCTCGGTGATAAACTGAATAATGAATAAGCCGGTATAGTTTAGTTGCAGCCTAAACTATTGAGATATCTGAATTTGGCCATCCAAGAACCGTTTCTAACCTGCGTTCAGGTGCAACACTAGGGGTCTCTACGCCAGCGACTGCAACGGTCACACCATCCACTGAATACGATAGATCAAAAGTCATCGGTAACATGTTAAAGATACAGGGCTCAACTCGATCTGCTGAAGGAATGCAGAGCAGCAAACTTGTTTGGTCGCTTGAAGAGAACGAACAGCAGTGCACTGGGCTCCCTCGAGAATTCACCTTTGTCTTCTTGGTTGAACAGCCAGTAGCTAAAGCACCATTCTCCTTGCAGATTGAAATTAAGCCTGTCTTCTCAAATAGTCTGAAAGCTACAAGCTTTGGCACCGAGATCACGAACAAGTCTGGCACGCTGTCAGATGAAGTTGGACAAATGTAGGTTGCTTCTTATTAAAGGATAGTAACGAAAAATTTCAGGGGTGAAGGTGTCTCTCCATTCAATTGTTGACCTTCGGGGCTGGTTTTCCAGTAGTCCATATGCATTCAATTTTGCTACCATGCTTGGGCAATTCGAAGATTTAGTGGAGCTGCCAGGAAATGCCTCGAGCGTTCAAGTAAGACTCTCTTGCAATAGAGAGATTATAATGTTAACATGCTTGCAGGATTACATTGGTACTACTTCAAGTGTCCCCGGTGCTGTTCCACTATCTTCATCGTAACTAAGGTCTTCCCTTTTTAAAGGCACTATTGGACTGTTTGCAGTAATGAACATTCTACGTTGCAGCTATTACATATCTTCTTCGCCTATGTTCCTGACCTCTTATCATATTTGACCTGATGTCAATCACTCTCTGCAACTGCGTACCAATTGGCCTCTTCCTTCCTTCTGCATATACTTCGACAGTTCATTTAAATAAAACATTGTCAGGATACATTCGCTGTACTGTAGTCAACCCAACGTATTGCTCGCAATATTGCGGTGGGACCAGAATTTCAGGCGTAGAATTTCGCTTTGGCGTATGGCCCCCTATATTACATGCTTTTAGGGCTGCATCTACTGCTTCCTCTAAAATACCTTTTCGATAAGCACCCTCTAAAGAAACCCATACTTCATTCCATGTAATGGGCGATTTTCCTGCGCCGCAAAGGTCTGTAGGATGTTCTTGCAGATTGTGCCATATGTCAGAGATATCTCGATGTGAGAGAGGCTTTTTGAAGGCTTTCATCATGGCGTCTCTGTACTCCTCCAGAGATTTATCCATATCCATCTGTCCATATGATCTAAATGATCTAAATCTTAAAGGTGCGGTGTTAGATACCAATGCATTGAAGCCATTAGAAACAGAAGTAGGCTTGAAAGCGAAACCATAACGTGGGCCTTGAATGTAGACCAGATCTCCCACGTTCCACTTCCAAGTAGAAGATCGTATGTAATTGCATTGCGTCCAGGTCATAAAATCAACAGAATCGAAAGTAATCCGGATGCGTTGCTTTGGTGACTTCCGGGAGTCAGATTCATGGAGCAAACTCCATAGTTTCTTGGGTCCTAGAACCTGATTATAAGCCAAGACAAACGCAAGTACGATGGCAAGGGAGCAATCTAATATCAGCGTTTCAGACTCCGATGGTAAAATACTCCTGAAAGCGGTAACAAGGTCGTCTGAAGCTGTATCCTTTGAGATATACCCACTCTCGATCCCATACGATTCAACGATCCGGCATCCATTCTTCTTCACTTGCTTTTTGTATGTGTTTGGATCAAATTCTCTCCCATTTATGGAAAAGTAATCCATCAGATAAATAATTTTAGGTTGCTTGGAAAGCCAAATCAGTTGATTAACAGTAGCCCTTCCTAGTTCGTCCCTTTTGCTTTGGCTCAGCTCCAAGACTCTGGGAAGCTTCACAGTAGAGCTTTGTTCCTCAAGCTGGAAAGTATAATGATTATCTTTGAGCCCTAAACCTTCGATTTCTTTGATCACAAAACACTCAAGCTCCGAGCCCCGAGGCAATATTTCTCGACGTACCTCTGATGCTATAGTTTTATCACAATGTAAATCAAAAGTTCTTGGTTGTTTTGGAACGAAACTTAAGGCAGCAGGTTTACAGTGTCGGCTATTGTATTCGAGCATCGAACAATAGAGTCGATTTACTACAACCTGCCCTAGCGTACCGTATATTTCGAGGACGTTAGGGGGAGTTCTTGTCCTTCCTACCGTTACTACACCGGTATTACTACCTAGCAGTATGACCGCTTGACTGGCTATTGTCTCTGAGGACGGTGCCAATCGCTTAGAAGCTGACCCCTTGCGAGTTGGGAGATTTACCTTTTCCTTGCCACCGCGAGGACTTTCGGTTCTTTTTCTAGTTATAGGTACATTTTTGTCTTCTGTGCTCTTCGGTTTATTCCGATTGCCGGAGGTATCACTCGTCTGTTGTCTTCCGCTACGAATGTTGTTTGAAGACATCTTCGAAATGGTTTATAGGAATGAATGTAGGTCGAGTGCGAATTTTATGACTGTTCTGGAGGTAAAGTACAAGTGCGGCAACTTTCTACGATAGCAACGGGGACTTGGAAGTTTAAATTCTTTTCCTAAATCGAGCCCAATCGAAAAATTTACGTTACGATCACCTCGAGACTAGCCCTAAGCGCCTATAACACAAAATTAACAGGTCCTGGCCGGTATGAATATGGTCAAATGACAAAAAAGAACGGAGCATCAACTTTTACAACAAGTTATTAATCACATGTAGTGATTGGACAACAATATCACTTCATGTACTTAAATTGATCAGGGTTATTATATAGGACTCCGAGTATAGTACTTCATATGGATTTTCTAACTCAATTTTTTTTGGAATCTTAAATTCATCAATTAAGTTTTTTAATGATAATTTGAATGATTGAAGTGATTGAAGTGATTTGAGTGATCTGAGTGATTTGAATAATTTGAGTAATATATGTTGGGTTGACTTATAGTAAGGGGGTGTATTGGGTTCAATAGTATTATAATTCATGTCTGCCCCTTCGTACGAAGGGGCATTGCTAAGCTATATACACGTTCTCAGTCACGTGTTCCAACAACATAAAAGATTTAAAAGATTCAAAAAAAGTTTTGAGTTTAAAAATCCATATAAAGTACTATATCTGAGTCTCCCATCGAGCCTCAGATTTGGCGCGGTTTCTTGTTACACAGGCAGCGGCTATTTTGCCGCAATGGGTCGGTTTCGTACTTCCTTTTACTAAACCCAACCCAGACCGTTAGTTCAAAAGAAGTCAATCGGGTCACCTAGGGCACGACCCGTCACTTGAATCAAAATTGCCTATTGATACCTATAGTTAACTATAATAAATCACTCAGGAAATCTGAATCTCAAATGGGCTTAAGAATCGATTGTGAGGCTTGAAATTAAGGCTCGATATTGGACTTTTATAGGTTTCTCCACAAAGCATCCAACCATGCAGCAACCTATTTCACTTACAGAACTCTTCAACCCAAACCATACAATTATGGGTCACCATTTTGGATTACTCAACCCAATATGACCCAGTTGTATCACCCGAACCACCCATTGCGGGCAGTGCCACAACGCAAGACCTACTCTCGATAGCCCATCACAACACCAGGGAGCTGTGGATAGACCACAATTTTTGAATCTTCTATATTTTATATCTAGACAATTACTATGACTGGATGGGATGGTGCTACTTATATGCTTATGCAGACTTGACTCAAGTACTAATGTAGCGTGAAGCAAATGATATCTTTATCCGAAACTCTGTCAGATGCAATAGAATTTGGATGCCCGTTTGGCGGAATCATGACCAAGTAGGCCAATATTAGGCAGCGGAGCTTCCTGGAAATCAGGGTACCGCATTAGAATGACAGAAGTTGAGGAGGCTGAGCCGGGTTACAATCTTAATGAAAGTAGATGAATACCGCGAGACGCTTGAAACTTTAGGTTGGTTTTGTTACGAACTTTTATTTCAGGAGAGTTGATGTCTTTCATGCGATTATTTATGTATGTATGGCCATCGGAGAAGGATGGATGTTGTATTCTATCGGCTACAAACCACCAGACAAAGAGATCCAATGAAGTCGTGTACTTCAAGAATGAATTGAGCCTTGAAGAATGTATTTGTAACAGGTATAGTGCCTGTTTCTAGCGAAGACAGGATTATCTCTCATCAAACCAAAGAACCGAAAAAGATTCTTGTATAACCAATCATAGAAACCCACACCCAAACTTGAATTTCAGCCAAACGCCAATGATATCACTGTTCCCATTGTTTTATAACCGTCATTAAAGTCCATCACAGTCCTACATCCGCATCGCATGTTTCACCTCGGAAATTCTAAGGGTAGCTCGCAGCACCACCGCCACGTTTCCTGCTCAAGAAGTGAAGAGCAGTCGTTCCAACAAAACATGCCGCTGTAAACCAAAGAAACGCTGTGCTCGCTTGAGTTTCTCGACATCTACCCGTAGCATCATCTATGGCTTTCTGGATAGTAAGTCCTCTTGGATATTTGTAGAGACTGAAGCCGAATGGATTGTTGTGAAGATTGACGTAACCATCAAAATCACTGCAGCTGCCGACCTTGATCGTTGTGGCATATGCCTACGTAGAGGCCAATTAGTCAAAATTCAACAGCCAATGTAATGCCAAGTGACTTACAATTCCACCAGCGAGGAGAAAGAATGATGCAACTCCATCGAGAACGAGCATTATCACTCCCTGTAGAGCTTCAACAAAACAAGCTGCCACACCAATTGCTGCGATGATGATCGCTGCTCCGCCACAGAATGATCCGTAGGAGATGAGAGACCAGGAATGACCTGGACCATAACCTTTGATCAAAATCGCAGACAAGGCTAGAACAACGGCAGCGAACAACATCTAGCTGGAGTTAGCAGAACAGATTCAGGAACATAAATTCCGAAGAGAAGCGTACCTGAAGAACTCGGAGTGCTAAAGTGACAATCATGTTGGCTTGTGTGTAGGGTGCTAATTATATTAGAGTATTAGGATGTTTAGATATGAATTGGTTGAGAAAGGGCCATTTGGTCGAGTACACTGTATATTATATAGTCAAGTCCACAGTGTTTAGCAGGGAAATGAGTCAAGATCATTAGGCTGAGACCAGGGATTGCCATATCGCTGAGGAAGAGATCTAAGTAACATAGGGAAGGTAAGAATTTCATAGGGAGAACCCCGCCTCCATGAACACAGCCTGTGCGGCGAGCAAGAGCCTTAGTGAAGGATTGCGGCACAGTGTTTCATGAACTATACCAAAATCGATAAACTATCCACAAGATTGATGTCCAATATCAAGTCATGAATTGAATCTTGCTGCAGTGTAATTGGTTTGAGCGCTTAGAAGTATGAAGATGTGCATGTGTGACTCTAATTCAAGTATAATGAATTTTGACGGCCTTCTCAAATTGGGTAAATGCTCCGAATTCGACGGGTGCTGCCTTGGCAGATATACACCCGAGAAACAAAGACGTTGCACTCACAACGTCGTACGTGTTGGATAGGTAGACAACACACCCATATTTGACGAATATGCATGTGATTCATGCTGTAGCACATTTCAGGTTCAAACCTCAACAGTAAACAACATCAGGGCCTAACATCAATAGCTTGAACGGAAGCCAAAGAACTTCTGGAATGCTTTTGAGGATGCCCCAGCGAGAGGATCCGATACTCATCAAAACTTCCGAAACATGGGAGGAATCGTGCTGGGCCACCATCCAAAAATACATATAAGATCAGATCCATGTATCAATGCACCCTGGAATTGACAGATGTGTTCTGGGTAAGCCGAGCCCTACGGATATCATGAATAAGAAATTTAGCCTCACCGGTTCCCATATGAGCAGGAAACGGGGGCCAAGAATAGATGAAAATCTGCGAGTGTGCATGAGGTTTCATTGGGGGTTGCTTATCATGAGTGAGACATAACCAAGCTTTACCATTAATTTCGACCAATAATCGAAATCGGTCAGATCCTAGAAGTGCTCCCTTGAATTAATTTCGAAAGTCGTTCGAGAGATGAAACATTGAAAATGGTTGGATCCGTTGGATTTATAGCCTAGTCACCGCCACAGCCACACTTTAAAATATGCTTAAAGCCACATCTGATTTGTCGAATTGATATCCATGGTTACCGGCACGCACTTCAACCCTCACATGTTATCTAGTGGAATGATATCCCAATGAGTTTTCAAGTGGAGTCTCTGGATATAGAGAATAGGTCTCAGGATACAAGGAATGAATCTCGGGATATAAAGGATGAGATTCAGGAACTGGAGAGAAAACTAGCAGCCGCAAAAGCCCGATTAGCCGATCGAGCTATATCCTCTCCATTATTGAAAGATAAAGACCCTGTTGCTATCAACAATGGTGAGAACATACTCATCTCTTTGGATGAAAGGCTTTCTAACCAGCCCCTAGTTTTCTCTCCCCAGTCCAACCATTTCCTTCTCCTCCTCTCCGATTCCGCCCTCCCGCTCGGTTCATTCGCCTTCAGCAGTGGTTTAGAATCCTACCTCGCGCACACAAAACCCAGATCATCATTCCCAGATTTCTTAACCTTCTCGCTGTCTTCTTATGCATCTACCACTCTTCCCTTCGTACTCGCTGCGCATCGGAACCCTGGAGATTTGGTTGATCTAGATGATGCTCAAGATGCATCGATCATGTGTACTGTGGGAAGACGTGCTTCGATTGCGCAGGGAAGAGCTTTATTATCTATCTGGGACCGATCATTTTCTGCTGCTTTGTCTACAGAAATGACTACTTCCACTGCTGTCGATGGAATTGATACATTGAAGGAATTCTCCATGCTGCTAAAATCTATATCTTCCGTACCTAGAACTACGTCTGGAGAGATACCGCCCGTATCAGCTCATCTTGCTCCTTTGTTTGGCGCCATTGCATCAACTGTGGGAATGAGTCTAGAACAAACAGCCTATGTATTTATGTTAAGTCATGTGAAAGCACTGCTTTCGGCTGCGGTGAGAGCGAGTATGTTTGGGCCCTATCATGCCCAGAAGGTCTTGGCGAGCGAGGAGGTGCAAATAGGAATCAAAGAAGTTATTGAGAGGGAGTGGAATACCAAGGTTGAGGATGCGGGTCAATGTGTACCAGTCATGGATCTATGGATTGGAAGGCATGAAATGTTGTATTCGAGAATTTTCAATAGCTGATAGTTATATAATGACATCATGAGAATACAATCAATTATGAGACACTGGTATACTTTGTCCATTTTATTCCCCTATGGCTTCTGCGTTCAAAGCTGAGACAACGCTCCTATAATTTTGGCTCGTCTAAGCGACCGAATATTATACAGTATACATGACCATACTACGATAGTTGACCGACTCCCAAACTCCATTAATCCCCCATTTAATCACTATCGCTATCATAAGCTACTAATGGCCCTGTAGATGCTGTGGGTTTTGGTTTCGTCGCAATTGACCCCTTGGCACTTTCTAGTGCCGCCAAAGTACTACTGGAAAATATACCTCCACTCTCTTCTTTCTGTTCCGTCTGTTCGTATGCATCCGCTTCGAGCATGAGTCTTTGCTCCTCTTCTAACTCAAGTCCCTGTCTACCCGCCGGGTTTGCCGCATTGGCACCTCTAGCAAAATAGACGTCATCAGGCGCCTCATAGCCTGCTAATCCAAAACCTCCTTCTATCCTCTTACGTTTTCGTGCTTCCGGATCTCGGCCCTCTATCTCAGCCACAAACTCTGCAGGTAATGCCCTTCGGACAGCTTCCGCAGCTTGCTCCTCTATTCTCCGTACCTCTCGTGCTTGCGCCATCGGATTCGGATCGGCCGTTGCCCAGCGTACGTTTAAGATTTCATTATGGTCTAAAGATTGATGTGCCATTGCCTCTTTCGCAAACTGCGCATTAGCCTCATTCGAATATGTGATAAAAGCGACACCTCTCGTGTTCAGAACTCGGACTAATACATATTAGCATATATTCATTGCCTCATTTGAGAGAGAAAACTTACTTCTCTCAACCTGACCCCATTCTGCAAAATGTCGCGCAACAATCTCTTCAATGTCATCACTGGCATGTATCCTTCCTACATAGATCGTCCTATTCTGCCTCATGAAACTTCCTGTACCTCCCATATCGTCTCTATAATCCGAGTGTTTATCGCGGCCAAATACATCAACGTTTGGATTGAACATATCATGAATTCCTGGTAATCGATGTAGATATTCACATTCCTGACCTTTTGGACAGATTCCTCTTGCAAAGAACAAACAAAAGTAACTGCCTGTCACTTTGTCGGCTTTGGTGTATCCAGTATCATTCGCAATGTTGCAACGTCCCGCAGCAGCTGTCTTAGAAAGATATTTATCCTCCCGATCACCTCCTGACCATTTGTTATACCAGATATTGAAAATAGTACCAGTTTGTGGAGGAGGCTCGCTCTTCATCGTCGAGGGATCGACTTGGGGACGCGCTGGACGCTTTTTTCGACGGATGATTTTCTTAACTTTGCGCTCGGCGGGTGCGCCTGCTTCATTGTTTGTGGTGGTAAGGGCTGTAGAGGTTTCTTCTGGAGCTTCAGTCACCGGCGCCATGGCTGGAGGACTTGTGATCTCGACTTCGGCCATTTCTATGATGGATGTGGTTGTTATGGTTTTGAGACAGGACTGAGAGCTCCAGGCTTCGAAAAGTTTAAGGCTGAGGTCAGTGCACCGCCACAATAGTCTACTTTTATGCCACACCCATCTCCATGGGTACCTACCGTACTTCCTGGAGGTCCAGCTAGTAAAGCTAGGACGCAGACCAAATCACAAGGTATTTAGGCACTTTTCCAAGGTTATCTTTTAAAGCTTAACAACATCGCATCGATATCTGGAAAATGCAAATGCAATTCAAAAGAATTCCTCCCTCTCAGCGATGTCCAGCGACATGCATAAGTCTCGCGCGATATGCCCTCAGTAGTCTGAGGAAGTAGCTATCGAGAAGACCAGGGCTAGTAATCTTTAATTGCTCCTTATTTACGAACTCCCCTGCTCCTGGTGAGCCACCAGCACAACCTTTACCCAGCCTACCTTTCGTGATTAATACTGGGTATCTAACCATGTATTCGCTGCCAGCTTTTGATTTGTTAAACGAGCCAAGAAGTGGTTGAATTCGTTGCCTATTGGTTTCTTTTCTAGCTGCTGGGTATGTATATATTTGACATCGGACACCCAGTACTTGCCCCGTATCAGTCTGCCTTGCGTCAGGCATTAGGGTCGCTGTGTTCTTTTAAATATGCACATCCTCATATCACTACATCATTTCGCTCAGTAACTGTCTCAAGGCTTCCCATATAACATACCTATATCAGAATTCCCAACATTCAGGCCACGAGGCTTTGGAATTTGTGGGATACGTTCTATTCTATAACCTATTTCGAGTCGAAACATTCAGATCATTCAATAAACCGAAAATACACAAGTAATTGTGATTGTCCTGTGTTCGAAAGAAATTTCACAGCTTTTCGAATGTTAATACCTTTCAACCTTGACTTCTCTTGAATATTGGCAGAAACACAAATCCAATCCAATTACTCACCGCTACAAACTGCTCAATATGACGTCCAAGAACATATCCTCTTCTCTCTCATGCGCTCTTCTTGTCCTGATAGGAGTGGTCTGTTTCCCAATTACCTGCTTTGTTATCTGCGCGGGTGGCTTCCAGCGACGTGGTAGCAATCGAATTAAGAAAGCTCAAAGAAAAGATATGGCCAAAGCTTGCAAAAGGAAGATCAGAGATATACCAAAGCCCTTGGAAGAGAGGAGAAAGAGAGAATTATCTCTTGAGCCCACCGGACGAAGGAGGGGCTTGGCGAATGTATTTTCGACTTGGAAGAGAGATAGAACGACACCGGCACGCCTCCTTCAACTACCACCCGAGATTCTGGAGAAGATCCTCCTGGAAGTTCTAGGCGGGAACACATTTCATCTCATCCAATGTCGTCGTCGACTAGGGCACATTCGTTGCAAGGAGCCTCATAATATCGACCGTGCAGCCAATTATCAATACGATATTGCGCGCTCCTGCATTCCTAGTGTCCAAAGACGAAACTACATGGCATATGAATGGATGCGCTACTATAATAAAAGGCCCTCCCCATTCTACACACAGTCTGATTCTTGCCTCGCTATTCTTCTCACGTGTCGCCAGGTGTACAGCCAAGGAATTTCCATTTTGTATTCCTGCAACACATTTGATATCAATAATCCCGAGACATTACTTTATCTTTCACAGACCGTCATTCCCTCAAGACTAAAATCGATAAAATCTCTACAGATGGATATTAATGCATTGATGGGTCCAAGTACCGAGTGTTCGACCCTACCTGGCTCAATACTAGACTTTTCAAATTGGAAAAAGTGTTTAGAGATGTTGGAACGCTTGGAAGGATTGCAGAACTTGAGATTGAGGATGTACTTCGATCTACCGCGACGTTTCCCTGATGCTCCTTACAGCGATGAGCCGGTCCAGAAGTCCCTGAAAGTAATTCTGGAGGGCACCAAGCTTAGTTCTCTGAGAGGACTGAGCAAATTTGATCTCGAGACTAATAGCCGGGATACCAAAAGCGTCGAACAGATGGTGGAGAGTGTGCGTGGTATTATTTGTGCTTGAGTAGAGGATCCATGCGTCATGTGAGGTATCTCGTACCATTATTACTAAGTTTAGGATTTAGCCCACACGGGGATGCAGCAAGTATAATTATAAAAAGTGCTGTTCATTTCAATTTCACTGCCACTCCCTTTGACCCAGCTAGTTTATCGTAGGACCCAGGGGAAGAAGGAACAGCATTAGATTTGCGCCTCCAACATTTGAATGGAATTTGATGTTCAGGATAGGCGAAATGTTTCATTCCATACAATACAAATAAAATAGCCCAATGAGATTTATGAACTGAACGCCTTCGACCCTTCGGCTGCAGTCCGGACTACTCAAAACATTGAGTAGAAGTAAAATTGATTCCCCTACCATTGTAGCTATGAGCTCTTGGAGAAATCCTCGAACGTACCTCGGATCTGTTGTGCTCACAGATATCGATCAAACAGTTGGAATCCACAGTAAATGTGGGTACCTACTCACCGGTACTTGTACACACGATTTCTAATAAAAGACTGATCTCCGATATCATTCCTAAATGACAAAGAATTATCTTTCTAATACCTTATCAAATATCTAAATAAACATTCCCTCTTCACCATTTATCTCAAAATGGCGCAAGACACCATCGAAACAACACCCTCTCTCTCCGACGTCCTAGCTTAAAACATCAAACTCATCAAAAAAGGAGAATACGAGCTCGATCTACCCAGCTCATTCAGTTTCGGTCCACGTAAGCAACCTATCTCCAAGTTCTCCATCTTGTATTCCACAACCCCAATCCTAACTCACAAACCCCGCCCCCAGGAATCTTTGGAGACCTAGTAATGTTCATGACGCACCAAGCAGTCCAAAAATACTTCACCGAAACACACAGCGAATACAATCAACCCGATGTATTAAGCATGCAATGGCAATTTTCCGTCTACTCTTTCCATCCATCGCTACACTAAGTATCAAGGATATTCATCTCGGAAAATACTCTTCCACTACCCTCTTAACCATCAGTCAAAAAGGGAAAGAATGCATGATGGGTTTTATGAAGTAAACTTCCTTCCCTTCACCCCCTCATTCTCCATTCTCCATTCCCTTCACTAAGCTAAACCAAACTAACCTACCCTCCCTCCCCCTAGCCTCACAAACCTCTCCCACACCCAAGGCTATTCCTTCCCCGTTCCCCAGACCCTGCACCCCTCACCCCCTCCAGCATGCATCCCCGACCTCACCACCAACACCTCTCCGCACTGGATCTCCTACCAAACCCCCTACCACCCCTCCTCCCTCCGACGGGTGCACTCCTATCCTAAATTTTTCGTCCCCCTCTCCCCCCAACCCCCCAGTCTCCGCGATCAATGGCTTACCCCCACCCATCCCTTCACGCGCTTCACAAACGAAACCCTCAGTTTCCTTCTCGACATCTCCTTTCCCATCCTCGATAATTTTTACCCGGAAAAAGCGTCGGGAGGACAGGCTGCAACGGTGCAAGTGGGGTTAGCACAGAAGAGAGAGCGAGAAATGGGTGTTGCGAAGAATGTGGATGTAGAGTCCGGGTCGTACCGGGCTCCCGCGATGATTACTTCTCTGGCGACGAGTATTGAGATTAAGAAATTGTTGCCGCCAGGAGGATCGAAGTGGTTGTTTATGAGAGCGCAGGCGAAAGAGATTAAAGATGGGAGATTGAGTATGGAAGTTATGGTGTTTGATGAGGGGATGGAATTGGTAGCGTTGAGTCGACAACTTTGTCCGATTATTGAGTTATCAAGAGCTATGGCAAATAAGCAGAAGCTTTAGTATCGTCTCTGGATATATCGGTGCGATGGCTGGTCAATTTGACATTGTTCCCTTCACTTAATCTATTGTTGTCTTGGTAAACTCAAAGCCGTGTAAAGGGTGGTAGAAATTTTCATCATAATAAACATCCATTTAATAGCTCAAAAGAAACTCCTCCCAAATGCACAAACTCAGATAAACTAGCATATTAAGTATATATGATGCCATTTCCACCTATAATGCCCACTCATTCTTATCATCCGCAGACGTAACAAATGGTTCATCAATTCGTTTAATGGCAAAGTCGCTGCAAAGGATACTATTTCTTAAGTTAGCAAGACAAGAGCCGCCACAAGCATGGAAAAAAAAGACTTACCAAGCACTAGCTACTAAACCATCCAGCTCTGCAATCAGGGCTTCCCTCTTAGCACCCATAACCATACCTTTACTAATTGACATCTGCACTTCTCTGATCCTCTTTGCCCTACCCACTCCCACCTGATCCATGACTCTCTTGCCCAAACAATCGCTGTGAAAAGCATGTTGACAAGGAAATACAAAGAACTGTCTGCTCAGCAACGGTAAGGTACACACGTAGCACTTTTCTCCCGGTTCCACAATCGCATAGCGTTGATCGAGAGCGGCGATATCAATTTTAATATTGGTAGCTGTCTGAGATGATTCGTCCATTTCTTTCTTGAGAGAATCGATATTACGACTATAATCCTCAAGCGCTGCGCATATTTCTTCTTTGAAATCATCTATGACGACGAAATCTGGAAAGAAGGGAATTAAATCTTCGATTTTGAGGAGATCACAACGTTTGAGGAATTCAATGGCGGTTTTAATGCCATTTGACTGAGAAATTACTTTCTTTGCCACGGCGAGCCACAATTTTTTGCGTAATGGGGGATTTGAAAGAGGGCGATCGGCAACGAGTGAAGCGAGATCTATCTCTGAATGTGCGAGAGCGAGTTCCACTGCTTGGAGATATTGCCCCATAGTGCTATATATGTGTACACACGATTGAACTCGCGAGTGTTGAATGCAGAGTCGAAGAGCAAAGTCTGAATCAAAACTTGGCTCATCACCTTGTGATTCGAGATACGAAAGGAGAGCCGATTCATCCTTTGATGGATGAGAGGCATAAATTGAAATTAGTGTATTATGTACGGCAGCATCGGTTGAGTTTAGGTGATTGATGACATGTAGAAGGTAACGAATGGCTTGGTTTTGAGAGACAGACCCTTCAAAATACTTGTCGTAGTTCAGTAAGGCAGGAATGAGATTCCGAGGCTTCAAGTCCGAGTGTCTTATAAGAATATCTACAAGATCAGTGGCCACATGTGTCATGAGTCCACTGCTGTATCTGTAAAATATTTCGGGTGCTGTCTGCTTCTTCAATACATCCAACGCCTCCTTCCAACGTTCCCTTTGAATCCAATAGGAGAGAACGTAGTTGTAGTCGTTTACAGCACTAGCAAAGAAAAGGAGTTCATCTTCCCTGCCGTGACTGCTAATTATATCGTAGGTGGTCTTCTTGTCAAGGTCACTTTTGTATTTTGTGACAAAATCCTGATATTCTGCTCGAATTGTGTCCAATTGATTTCTTGTCTCTGTAGGATTCAAATTCTCAGATAACTCTGCCTTAGTGACGATCGTATCGTCAAGAGAGTTAAGCTTTGACATAAAAATCTCAACAAGCCAACTTGAAATCATGATGCGTTGCATAATTGAGGCCTTTCTGTAAGTTGTGAGTTTTGTAAGGAGATACTTTCGTAAGGCATCTTGCTGATCGTTATCAACGAACGTGAGTGCAACTTGTTCAAATGGTTTGCTACTCTTTCCATAAACCCCCGCAGCTTCAAGATATGAGCCTTTACTAATGAGATAGTCACCAGATGCTGTAGCAACAGCATCCTTCTGAGCTGGCCCTTTAGCATAACGTAGGGCTGCATCAAAATGTTCTGTCTGCAGCATAACTTTCCATACATCTCTGTCTTCGTCTGTGACAACGATTTCATAAATTTCTTGTGTAGTGAAGAGCCAAAATGTGTTCTTCTCTTGGTCAGCGAACAGTCCCAGTGCCTGTTGACCAGGTTCCAAGACCACTTGATCAAATATCACTCTATCATCCAGTCGATTGACGGCAACAACACGTCCCCCGATCAGGTGAAGAATATGCCATTGAGTCAACGCAATTGAATCGATTGAATCTGGAACTGGCTTCTTGCGACCCATCGAGTTCTCTGAAGCTGGCAATTGAGATCTAGGTAACAATTTCGCCTCGGTAAACAATCTTGCACCTAAATCCGAGGTTGCTGGTGTGGTCATTAATGTACCATAGTATACACCTTGCGATGATAGCCACGCAAAGGTACGATCTGGGGTCAGACTTTCCATAGACGCAGAGTCGGGATGGTTTGGAGACACCACAAGAGAAGAAGCTGCAGTTGTAGATATCCTAGACAACTCATGAACTGTGGGTTGTTCCGTCTCGAAAAGCCGTGTAAATATTGATGCACCTCCTTCATGTGCCACCCGGCCAATCTTGCCTATTAAGTGAAGCACCCGACTTTGTGTAGCTACCATTACTCGTCGAACTTCTTTGGCGTCAGGCCTACCAGTAACGAGATCTACCCACAGTCCGGTAACAGGTCCATCTGGAAGTCTCATAAGTGCTTTTAGGTATTTGTCCTCTTTACGGTAAAATTCCGTAGCTGTTTCGATATACCCTTCATAAATCATTCCATCCGAAGTCCCAATGAGTATTTCCCTGGTCGAGGATGTCGGTAACGAGGGATTCCAAGCAATACATTCTATCGACACGCCTCGTAGTCGTGAAAGAGGCCTGGGCTGCCTGGATTGTGTATGAAGGTAATAGTTCTCCCCTTGCGAAGTGCATATGATCAAATGTGAAGCTGTTGGGTCGAGAAACATGCGCCGTATCACTCCAACTTCCGATGTCTTTTTAGGAAGATCAATATCTAGATTAACAGTCAACTAGCTGGTCGAAGACACAGAAACATTTTAAAATCTCACCATCTATATCTGCAGGATTGTCCAAGTCGATTCGGAGAATCCTGCCATTCGAAAGTGCCAAAACCAGGACATTATTTGCAACCTGCGCCGCTACGAAGTCGGAGGCTATAGAGAATTGAAGTTGTACCTTTTCGACATTAAATATGGGAAGTGCAATCTCATTAAGATTGAGATCTTGTAGATTTCTTGCGGCTACGTAGCCGCTTGACGGGTCGAGAGCCATCCGTCGTTGTTATATGAGCTACCTCATGGTCGTTGAGCCCAAGGCTGTAATTCGCTGTCCAAGGCTGGCAAGCCATAGCTTCGAATTGCACTTGATGACTTAAGAGTAGGCCGTATGAACATCACGTGACTCATGGCTACATAGCAATCGACTTCTTGTGACTTCCGGCATGTTTGGAGCTGTATCGTCCTTGTACAAAGTGAGGGTACGAGGGCTCCCATTCTGCGGGCAATAACATTCCATCATCCTGAATGCGGTGTATCTATATGCAGCATCTAATTTGAAGTTCTACAACATGCAACTTGGAGTTCCCTCCAGGCTGAAGAATTATACCCAAGTCTGGTTAGAATTAGACAATGATAAATGACACAACTACCTTCTTCACTCTTCATATAAGAATGATACTTTATGCTCTCCTATTGCCAGTACTTATTATAGTCCCACAGCTTTTCTCTACTTCTACAAGGCTGTGTATCTAAAACCAAAGCGAGAACTCTCTGATGTCACCCCGAAGCACCGTACTCGTGAAATAGATATGAATTCCACAGCATGATTCATCTCGTGTGTCAAATTTGGATACATTTCCTGAAGCTTACGACCACTCTTCGTAGTACCGGTACGTGTTGGTAGCTATACACCTCGTTGTCCGAGGTCGTTAGCATCTGTCGTACTGTCTCGAGGTTTCCGGGAGAGAGTAAACACCCTCTCCCGGTCCTCCCACTAATCCCACTGGGGTAGTCCTAGATCCCAATGTGAAGCATGATCGTAATCTGTATCGGCGGGACGACTTGGTATGGAACCCACTAGTCAGTCCACTTCTTGAGTTGCCGATTTTTGTCCATCTGTGCGGAATCATGAATACGAAGTCAAACGTCAGCAGGAGAACTTTGAAAACCTCTTGGCCTGGGCATTGAGTTTGTAAGCACAGTATATTTCGGTGTATCATGGTTCAGCCATCTTGAAGATATATTTCCATGGGCAAGGTCGCAAAATGCCTCCGGCTCTTGGAAAGTCAAGGTGTCAAATGGGGGCGGAGGTTTCACCACCCCTGAGCCAAAATATGAAAACAATGTTTATAATATATTTTGATTTGTGGGGGCTTCACATGCTACCAATACTATGTTTAGATCAGTAGGAATGAAAAGGGTTTTTGAAAAGATGGTAGGCTAAGAAAGATCGAAAGACAAGGAATATCGAGGCAACAGTGATAGCATTGAGAAAAAGAGATTAAGAATGCATGAAACGAGTTTTGATAAGGAGAATCTTATTTCTTCTTCAGATGAACTCAAACAGGTGAGCTCATATCTTCACATATAGTGTAGATCATGCGGAAAAGGAAATGATACTTTGTGTTGTACTACTGACCCAGGCCAAAAGAAAGAAAGACAGCGAGACTGACGATGCGTAAAATCTTTGTCAAACAAACAAAAGACGACGCGAAAGAGGAGTTGAAACAGACAAACCGAATATCAATTTTTTATGGATCTGAATCTGGAAGGATCTTTTGCGGCTTTTGAAAGCAACGTAAACTTTGATTTTCCAAGAAATCACATAGTACATGAAAGTAGTACATATGTACAAGTGTTCACGACATGATTCCTTTTCTCGGTAGTCAAGAATTTCGAATAAGTCCGGATTGAAAGACTAATAGTCTAGCGAATAATTTGATTGGTCAAAAGATATCCTCCTATTTTTTTGTCAATGCTTTCGCGACCCTTGAAGTTTCATAATTGATCTACGGTCATTAGGATTAGATCATTGGACCAGTTCTCAAACATCAAACAGAATCATCAACTGAGATCATCAACTGAATGGTACCGGTTATTCTATCATGCCCATTGACAGCGGCAAATCGAGTAGAGAATCTCACCGTCAAAGAGCTTTATTTATTTATCAATATTGTTTAATCACTCGGCGATTACTTGTGGGCCTTTTTCATGTTGGGCTCGATGCTACTCACTATCCGGGCATATATTATTATGTTCCTAGTAGCTTTATATAGTTGTGGATTACACAGAACTGTGGGTAGCTTTCGGTGGGAGGCCGAAGGAAAGATAAACTTGTTGTAATGAGTACCTAGTTGCAGGATGTCGCCGCCACTGAAGTGATGCATGGTCTAGCCGTGACCATACGGTTGCTTAGCGAGAGCTCATCGGCAGGTTCATGCTGTTGATACGATCCTACGAATAGTTCTTCTGTTCTCTCAAAGTTCGAATTGATTGTTCTTATTACGACAATGGTATGTACGTAGGTATGGCATAGGGAAGTATTAGTCTGTAAATGAGAACATATAAAGTCTGGAATATTCAGATGACCCGTACCTTTGAACTAAACTCCAATTTTGAAATCACTCTTCCATACTAGTCGACGCTTTACTCCGTAGCATTTTTCCGACTTTCTTTTAAACCTTTTTCCCTTTGGCACTGACAGCTAAAATTCCTAAGGCTATCTGATTTATGATGCCATTTTCCGGAGCCACGCCTCCCCCGACCATTCGCGCGCACAAGCTATTTTGACCAACCGACTTTGGGACGTTTCATATCTCTCTAGGTAAAAGATAATCAGCGACTATCAAACGCCGTGAGTCTATGTCAGAACCAATTGAAAGTTGAAGATCAGGGTCATCTCTAGGACGACCAAAAAAGTTGAGACTGTGCGATATTTTGAAGAGAGGAGGCAAAGAGGCAAATGATTTATTTCGACAAATAAGATTTATGAAAGTATTCAACTTTTTATATTGATCTGACTACCTGACTACCGGTTGCATGAAAATTTGTTGCCAGCGCATAAGGTAGAAATCTGGTAGGATATACTGTATGTACATGTACAGCCTTTGGGACCGCTATGTCTTTCCTTGTTTTTCTCTCAAGATGGGGATAAACGCACATACAGACAAATAGACAGACAGACAGACTGTACCAAAAATTGTCAAACACTGGATCATCCCTCATTCATCCGTGTATCAACTCAAAGCGTGGGGAAAAGTTGTGATTATTATGATATTTAGAAATATTGATAACGACAGCTGAATTAATTCGGATGAAGCCACCTTCTCCATCCTCAGACCCTATCTATCTCCAGAGCCTCTGGCCTGAAGGTCTCTCTCTTGAGTCTTGAGTCTTCAGCTCGTAATGAGGAACAGAAACACAAATCCAATCCCCACCTCACATGATCTAGATGGATCGGTTTTGGTTTCCGGAGAAACATTTGGGAGTCATCCTACATGTTTGCCGAGTAGAAGCATCGCATCCCTAGTACTTTTCGACGCATTTTGACCAATATGGAAAGTTAGATTATGTCGATATGCTTTCTCCATCAGTTGCTGCGATCTAGAATGGTTTTAGTTGCAGAGTCCAAAGCAGAACTGCAGATAGCAGTAGCATGGCAGCAGCATAGCACTCTCCAAACTCGCATATGGGCTTACTACAGAGTGCTAGGGAGTAATGAGTAGTAATAAGTAGGTCGGCTCGGTAAGGCAAGTTGTAACTAAAACTAACAGCTATCTCTCTACCATCTACCCACCCAGCCAGCACTCAGCATCATAAGAGTTTTCTCTCTGGGAAAAGGCTTGCAAGATGCATAATCATTTGACCCTTGACCGTATTGAGTTAATCTTATGATTACGCCTTTCCCTCTCTTTGCCTTAGCATGTACATATTTTTTTAATCCTTGTTCCCTCCATCTTCATCCCAAGGCAAATCAGAATTGATCTGACTATCCTCACTCATCGCCTCTTTACCCTTTTTCCCTCGGATCCACTCATACAAAACATAGCGTGATAGCTTACTTTGGCAGCCGCGTCCATAATTGTCTCAGAAAATAGCTTAATAAAACTTCGTATATCGTGGATTCGTGGATTCGTGCTGAAGCCAGTCGTCGCTCCCTTCAATCAGCGTCGAACCCTGAATCAGACCTTACTTGCATCGAGGTATTAAACAGAGACCCAAGAATTCGGTCGGTCATTATTCACAAAAACCTTGATCTATCTGTCTACCCTACCTATAATACCGATCTAGTATCCAGCAGATGATAGCATTTGCGATTGTTATTAATTCTATTTCCATATCCATATCCATATCCACATCCACATCCATTTCTCCTACCATTTTATTTTGATGCTATTTATTCTCTTTCTTCTCTTTCTCGTTTAGTCACTAGTATCCTCTCAACGCCTTCCCTGGCTCCCTGGATAACCCTCTAAACCTTCTGAGCCTCTCCTCTCCTCTCCACTTCCACTTCAAAACTTAATTCACAACAACAAATCCACCTCGGATTGGCCCAATCCCTAATCCCTAATCCCAAATCCCACTCACATGGGCACGCTCGCACGTACTTGTATTACTCAACTCTCCAGTGCCTCCACCTCCTTCCTCTCAGTGTCTGTTCTTTAAATTCTATCCCACCCCAACTCCACAATCCACGAATCTTCGATAGATCTTTACCAGGTGTTATATCTATAAACTCTTATTAAAATAGATCCTGGAAGATCTATATCGGCCGTACAAGAAGGACGACATATCTTGCAAGACAATCGTTGAGCAATTGAGCATTCATTCGCATACACAAAGTACCTACCTACCTACCTAAAAGAAGTCGACCCAAACCACTTCAACTCACGCCAATCTATCGACACTCCCTTTGAAGCATTTGATCTTCAATCTTTCAAACAAACAACTACCATCTCATCTTTATATTCATTCGTCGGACCTCAGATCTTCTGACTTCTTTTTGCAAATAATCATCTCGCCAAGTTTATTCACTTTCATTACCAATTCGCTCCTGCTTTTCCAAACCGATTTCGCATATTTAATCAACCACCTTCATGCCTATTTAATGATATCCACGCAATGGCAATGCTAGCTTCAAAGAATCCCTTTCCCGCATCGCTGGGCCCGTCCTCATCTTCCTTTCCTTCTAATTCACAAACAGCGACTGCTCAATCGAGTAGAAGAGCACCCGCCATGTTGGCCACAAATCAAACATTCGCGAGTCCGACAGAATCTGAGTTTTCAGATGTTGATGGTCCAGAGTCTGCGAAAAGATGGGACGAGGATCAAGTTGGCGACTGGCTAAGGAGCATCAACTGTGGCGACTATGAGAAGTTATTCAAGAAAAATAATATAAATGGCGAGAATCTTTTGGAGATGGATAAAGCAGTACTTCAGGAAATGGGTATTGAAAAGATAGGAGATCGCGTTCGTTTATTCTTGGGCATCAAGAAGCTCAGGACGAAGGCGTATGCCAACCAGAAGAAAAGAAACAGGGTAAGTATTCGTTTGCTTCTCATTGCAGCGGATCGATATTGACCATTCAATCACAGGATTCTTTCGCGACCTTGGATACTTTTGCACACACTCCATCTTCCTCTGGTTCACCTCGCCCCACAAACTCTGGAAGTCGAAACATGTCTACGTCTACCAATAAGAGATTCTCAAGGCAGTTTGATACATTCAATACCGCTACAGCGATCCCCGAGAATGTTAGCAAAGCAGTTTCGCGACCTGTCTCACCATTAACAAACTCTGAAGTTCGGCCCGTACGACAACAACAAAGATATGGTGTTATGAGCCCCGCAGAACAAATGAAGCGAGACCAAAATCAAGGATACTTCAATGGTTCAAGTAACATTAGCATACCAGGCAGCGCTGCAACTATTTCCGGAAGACGTCCCACCACTCCGTCTGATCCCACACAACCACAGATAGCTCGGCTAGCTATTGGTCATACTCGAGCCAATCCCAGCATTGACGGCTCACTTATGGCTTCATTGCCAACAAACCAAGATGTCATCAGGGTGATATCTTCTAAGGGTGTTACAAAGGTGGTCAAGGTTGCAGATTGTAGCTCTTGTGACGAGGTGATGCGATTGACTCTGAGAAAATTCGGCTACCGTGAGGATCATGATCGGAACTATTGTTTCTGGGTTCTTGCTGGTGTTGATCCGGATCCTAGCCAATGTCGCCGATTGCCAGAAGCTGAACTTTGGCGTATCATCAAAGATCAAAAGAGGGCAGAAAGAAACCGGCTTATCCTGCGAAAGATACACGCAGGTGAGCCTGGCGACGACGAGCTACAGCGAGCCGCTAGCATCGCGTTGGAGGAGGCTACAACAACTCATAACCGCGCCATTGAAACATCCGATAACAAACGAAGTCAACTCAAAGTTCAGAAAATGCTCGGAGAAACCTGGAATGACAATCTTCAGCATCCACTATCTCCTGCCTCGTTTCAATCCACTGGATCCAACTTGTCCATTACCGAGAGAGAACGTAACGTATATAATGCGGCGAAGGATCTTGAAAGGCCATTGCCAGCTGACATGAGGGAGAGCTCAAGACAAAAGGCGAGCAAGAAAGGTGGTGGTCTACGCCACTTCTTTGGACAAAGGCCTCCAAGTGAATTGATCACGTCAGATTTGACGACATACTTCCCTGACCATCCTCGTGAAGAGATTGATCGTACTGCGAGGCTTTCACTGCGGAGATCCACTCGCCTTAGTAAGGTCAACAGTCGATTGAGCGTTGCCAGTAATTTGAGCTTTGCTTCGAGCGTAGCTGATGCGCCTCCAATGCCAACGATTGCCGATACTTGGCTCATGGGCAATAGCCAGTTAGCAAAAATAAGGCCATTGGATCTTTCAAGGGCAACTAGTAGTCGATTTAGAGATTCGGTGGCTTCCTCATTGCTTGACATCGTTCAAGAAGAATCGCCAACCGAGCCAAATCGCAAATCTTATGTCTCATTTGCGACTGACAGCGGATCTGACACTACCAATGTTAATGTAACTACTGACGATTCAAGTAGCGTGAGAGATAGCTACTTTGAAGACGGCAGTACAGAAGCTGGAGATTCTCTGAAAGAGATTACCCAAGCTCTAAATAATGATGGAGAGGAATTAGATGAGGAACTAGAGAGTTTCCTGCAGGGTGATTCTTGGGACGACAGTAAATGGATGAAGGGTGCACTCATTGGTCAAGGTTCCTTTGGTAGTGTTTTCCTGGCTTTGCATGCTGTCACTGGTGAACTTCTTGCGGTCAAGCAAGTCGAGACACCTTCGCCAAGTACAGACAGCAAAAATGATGCTCGCAAAAAGAGTATGATTGACGCTTTGAAGCGCGAGATCAGTTTCCTTCGTGATCTCCAGCATCCCAACATCGTCCAGTACCTTGGAGCAAGCTCATCTGATAACCATCTCAACATTTTCCTCGAATATGTCCCTGGTGGTTCTGTTCAAACCATGCTTAATTCCTATGGAGCATTGGGAGAGCCTTTAATTCGAAGTTTTGTGCGACAAATCGTTACTGGCTTGGCTTATCTCCATGGTAAAGATATTATCCACAGAGATATTAAAGGGGCAAACATCCTTGTTGACAACAAGGGTGGAATCAAAATCTCTGATTTTGGAATTTCGAAGAAGATTGAAGCATCAAATCTCCTCAATGGACCTGGCAACAACAAGAACCGACCTTCTCTACAAGGCTCTGTCTTTTGGATGGCACCTGAGGTCGTCAAACAAACCGCCTACACACGCAAAGCTGATATTTGGTCACTTGGCTGCTTGGTCATTGAAATGATGACAGGTACTCACCCATTCCCTGATTGCTCTCAACTGCAGGCCATTTTCAAGATTGGTGGTGCAAGAATCAGTCCTACAGTACCAGATGAGGCTAGCTCCGATGCAAAGATATTTTTGGCTTCAACTTTTGAAGTTGAGCATACTAAACGACCAAGTGCTGACGAGCTGTTACTCAGTCCATTTTTGAACCCAATCACTTGATTAGTTTATTGAAGAATCTTTTGCAGCACGCACCTGTATTAAGTTAGTATACGCTTCAAATGCATTGCAAGCGCTGGGCATTGCATCGTATTGGAGTTTCTACTTTCAGCATATTCATTTTCTTGTACACTTTTTTCTCTTTTTTTTTCTTTTTTCCTCTTTTTTTGATGTCGTAACGAAACACGATACCCAACGCTTCCTATGGATTTAGGCATAATAAGGGTACATAGTATAGACGCATGGATGACGGCAGGGGTGAACTGTGACATCACTGGTTGATCTCTTCTTTTGGTAGCAAGCAGGTACATTTTAGGAAGGTATAAAAAATGAAGGCGGATATTATAAAACAATGTATCCAAAGGGGGTGAAATGGAAAGATGGAAGATACGTATGAAAAAGTCGCGGGATTTCAAAGTGTACAGATATAGGGTAGTAACCGATATGATTATCATGATTCAAAATTAAACAGAAACGCAGGTTTCAAATGTTATTAATCTATTGTTTCAATGTGACTTTTTAGTTTGGAAATGCTGTGAAGATATAAGTTGTCTCTTCTAAACTTCTAGAACCCATCTATGTAAACTATCTTCCTGTCTCGTCCTTCTATTTGAACCCTTCAAATCATCCAGTACATCACCATTGTTACCACCGTTAGAAGTCCTATTTCTCTTCGCGAGCGGGAATGCAAAGACGCATTACATCCCGTACATATGATGGAGGAAATCCCTCGGAAATCGCATCCCCGATCCCGCGATTCATGCGCGTGATGTATTCTGGATTGGGAGCCGAGGGGGTGATACGCTGGGTATCGATGTAGGTTAGTGCGCGGATTTGGAGGGATGGAGATGGTTGGGATGGTTGGGATGGTTGGGAGGCGGCGGGGGGAGAGAGAGGAGGAGGAAAGCGTGCAGAGAAAGGTGAGTATGGAAGGAGAGAGGGATAGGCCAACCCGGCACCCGAAATTCCGGAAACAGAACCCGGAAATAAAGATAATAGAAATGAAATTGTGGGGGCAGCAAGTAATGGCGAAACGGATAGGAGGGTGATCAGAGGATACATTTTCGTATATGCGAAGGGGACGCCTTCGCTCCGGTCGAGGAGACATTCGTCCCGGTGGGAAAGCGTGTAGAGGAGCCCGTAGACGTTGGATTGAGGATTTTGAGGGGGGGTTGAGAGGAGATTGGCTGCTGTTTGTTGTGTGTTGGGGAAGTGTATTGCTTCGAACTTTCTGGGGGTAGAGGTGGAGGGGTTTTTGTTTGCATTTGCATTTATATTTCCATTTGTATTCTCATTCTCATTCTTAAAATCCTTCTCATCTCCAGAATCTTCTCCCTCTCCCTCTCCAGCATCAAAATCAGACTGCGACTGAACCCCAGAATCCCCACAGAATACAATATTTGCATAGCCCCTCTGATTCACAATCCAGCGATGGTTTTGCAATATACCCATGCCTACATATGTTGAGTCTGGACAACGGGTTTGCATCTGTGCGTGTGAGAGGTTGGATCCGTAGGCGAAGTAGAGGGTTTGTGGTTTGGGGATGAGGGCGGGGGTGGAGGGGGTGGACATCTTTTATTTTGCTTTTGCTTTTGTTTTTGTTTTGTTTGTGTATCGATGGTGATGCTGATGATGATAATGGTGACGATATCGAAGAGAAGCAAAAAGAAGAAGAAGAAGAAGAAGAAGAAGAAGAAGAAGAAGAAGAAGAAATCTGCCTACTCGAAAGTAGAAGTAAATAACCACCTCCCACCTACTTCATTTCACTTCACTTTATTAATCAAACTCAACCCCAAAACTGAAGTAAATAAAATAACATAATACTCTCAAACTCAAACCCCAAACTCGAATAAAAACAAGTAATTATAATCCGATATAAGCTTACATATTCCAAAATAAAGAATATATAAATAGATAGTATAATATTTTATTAAATCCCTCGCACTAGTATCTATACTTATAGTTTAAATTTCTGTTTTATTTAATTCTATTCTATTTCAATTTTAAATCTACTCTTTTTATTCAATTCCGATTCTAAATGTAATCTACTAATACCTACCTATCGATATCAATCTCGATTATCTAGTCGTATATCGATATAAATCATTTTATTAAGTTATTTATCGTAGGACATCGAATTTATTAATTTAGTTAATTTATTATTTCATTTATCAATCAATCAATTAATCTCATCAATCAAAAGAAGAAAAAAGCAGAGAAAAATTCACTCCTTTCTATTTCTCTTTCTCTTTCTCCAATAAAACCAAAAGACAGAGAGACAAAGAAACCCCCCACGTGCCCCCCTTCTCATTCCCAATCCCTTCCCAGTCCCTTCCCAATTCCAACTCCCAAGACAAGACAAGACAAGACAAAACTACAAACGAATACCTATCTATCTATCTATCTATCTATCTATCTATCTATCTATCTATCTATCTATCTATCTATCTATCTATCCAGCATCTCAAGTTTCAATATCTAGCTAGATATTCAAACCAAAACAAATCTACAAATCCTCAACCTAGGAACGCAAGAGAGTTCCCTCAAAACACTCTAACTTCAGAACTTCAGAATTTAAAAACTTAAACCACATCCCTATTTACTTATCTGCCTACCTACCTATCCAGATAGATACCTAGATACCTAATAATAAACACAGGGTGTGAATAAATCAACCTTGATAGAGAGAGAGTGTGTGTGTGTAATGAATAGGTAGTGAAGCAAGACAAAAAAGTAAAAATATGTATGTGATATATGTAAAATAAATTGATTTCAATCTACCTAGGTATTTTCAATTCATGACTGTACGAAATGCTTGCTCATTTGGTATATCCATCCATCACGCATCCATCCAACCAACTAACCATGCATCCCCCCTTCATAATATATTCAACAAACTTCCAGAACACAAAGATCCCTCACCAATCGCTCAAGCTATGTGTGCAACAAAGTGCACTCTATTCAACATCTCAAAATCTCGTTTCCTAACGCCCTATCAAAAAAGATCTCCCAAATCTTCCAACGCCTATCAATGAACAATGCAAGCATAAATACTCCTAAAAACACCCTTCCCCCCTCCATGTACCTGTATCTTTAATATAGTCAAGTTCACCCAATTCAATGATTGTATCCCTCGCTAACCATCCCAATCCGTCCATCCCTCAATATGCAGATATGCATGCGACTGCACTTCCCGACTACCCTTCCATTAATCCAACCATGAGACAAAAGTAAGAAGTATTCCCTATCCCTGTTACTAGCCGTATAGCTGTATTCTATGCCACGCGCGCTTGCAAGTATGCATTCACTTTTTTGCTTTTAGTGCGAGTAAAGTAGTAAACCAATTCCGTAACTCCGTCCCAATGCAACGCGACTTAAAGCAAGCAATGATCGCACAAACAAACCATGTGCAAAGTACTAAATCTGAATTCCAAGAATCAAGATTCCATTTCAAACAACCCATTGTCCAACTCAAACATCTTCTCATTACCCAACGGACCCAAATCAGGCAGCAAGCCCCCATCCTTACTGCGTTTGTAAGATATGCGTTTGGGTTTAAGTTGAGTAGTATCTTCCCTCTCCTCCAATCCAAACATACTTTCACTACCCAAAGAAGGCAAATCAGGCAGTAGACCTCCATCCTTACTGCGTTTGTAATGTATACGTTTGAATTGAATATTCTCCATGTCATCCACGGGCCTCTCGTTTTCCATTTCCATAGGATTAAGTACCTCTGCTAAAGGCGTCATGCCAGAAAATCGATCATTTGTGATTTCGACTGGATTTCCCAGTTCAATCTTAGGCGTCGTGTTGCTCAAAACCTGTTCTAAAATTCCTCGGTCACTCATGGCTGTGGTAGGACGCATGGCATGTTCGCCTATAGTTTCAACAGGATCGTATCCCTCCACGCCCATAGCTATGTTTCTGTTTCTTTCCAAGAACATGGATAATCTCCCAATCTCCGTATTCCACTTCTCGGCCAAGACCTTTACCACTTGATCAACATCTTGAGGTGTCAATTCTAGTTTTATAGGCTTCTCAACCCCGACCCCAAAGGTTTTCAATGTTCGCTTCACTGAACTTTTCACGTGGTGGTTTTCGCGGCCCGAAGAGCTCGTGGCACGGCGTGTATCCCTCATACTGGCACTCATTCGTTTCATAGCGATATCTTGATCGTCTCGCATGTAGGGAACTTCAAGAACAGTGTGGTTCTTTGCAATAGCATTGACGAGTATGGTGAATCCTTGAAGATTGATATCGTTGTGTTCACAGAAGATATGAGTCAAACCCCTATTCTCTTCCAAAACAGAGGAGAGGGTGTTCGCTCCTTCCAGACCCAGGTTTTGGTACTCTATACGAAGAGATTTCAAAGTATTGTTCTTTTTGAGACCGGTCAATGCCTGATTCAAGCCTATTCCGAATCGAGTAACCTCCAGATGTGCCTGTTCTCCAGAAATATCCAAGTCCTCCAGTGTGGTGTTCTCAGCGAAAACTCTCTGCATGGTTTCACATGTCTCCGGACTTGCATCGTATGGAAGGGACGCTTTCGAAATATCCAGGACCTGAATCGTAGTATTGGTGCGCAGGGCTTCCAGTAATCGCTTGAAGTAGTCCTCTTTTGTAAATTCGATCATCCGAACCACGAGTTTGGTGGGAGTGAAATTTTCTTGAATAGCTTTCACAAAATCACTTATCCCCTTCTCGAGTCGGTTGGCACTTACGTGAAGCTCCAAATCACGAGGTTGGCCAGCGACTCGAGTCATAGCTCTCATGAGAAGAGCAACGTGCGATCCACTCAAATTGCACTGATCCATCTGTAAGGTGCGAAGTTGATCTGACATATCACTTGTAAGATAGGCAGAAATTGTGTCCAAAGTTTGATCGTTTACCTATCGAGTCAGCCAAAAAGTTTCAAGACAAGAGTAGCACACTTACAGGAATGCCATTCAAAATCAGCTCCTCCAATCTCCAAGAGAGCATAACTTCAGGGACAAAAAGTGGTTGATCACCAGATGTACGAGTGATCATGGAAAGGTCGAGCTTGCGAACGTGCGAGAAACGACTCATGGATACTTGAAATCTTTCAAGAAGAATTCTCCCGGGGTTGTTAGATATATTGATGCACTCTAGTGTTTGGTTTTGTCGCTCCAAATGAGTCAAAAGTTGCATTATCCCTCGATCACTAAGTCCACAGCGCGAGCACTCGATCGCTCTAATCTCAGCTTTTGGATTGTTCAGCGCAGGAATCATCGCATCAAGATCTGTTTCTCCCAGCTCAATTCCGTTAAGAACAATCCAATTAACATTGGTCAATTGTGCGCGGCACAATGGCATCAATGCTGCAGTAATTTCACAACCCGGATCTTTCTGTAGAACACCCCCTTCATCATCAAAGGTATCTCGCGGTCTTCTTCTGGGAAGAGCATTACTGACATCTACCTTTCGAAGCTGCAGTGACTTTAGAGCAAGTGCTTGAACTTCTTGGTATAATAGTGATCCATCCTGTGGCTTCATGGTGAAGTAGGTATCTATCGCGATCCCTACTCGAGTAGTCCAAGCTACGTGATCTATACCGTAGGAATCCACAATACCATGCATACAATGAAGATCGATATCTGCAAAAGAAATTGAGCGAAAAGATTCGTTATATCGTAAAGACCTGAAAATAGCAAGCAGTTCGTAAATCGTATATTTAGCCGTCATGGCAGGAGGGTAGAGACGAAATTCTGGAGCATCCTCAACGTTCCAATCAACTGCGTATTTTATATTCACGGGATTACACTAGGTATGTCAGCCAGATAAATTTTGCAAGCCAACACGCAGTATCTTACGTTATAGGCCATGCAATAAGCAACCAAGGTTCTATCAAAACACCCATACTCCTCTTCTTCGTGAACTAGAGGGATATCGCCAGACTCCAGTAGACGCATGGGCCCGTTGAACGTGAAGTTATAGTCTAGCCATGCTGGTTTGAGATACTGTATGGCTTGAAAGATGACCACCGCAATATCGTGTGTGGCTGATGCTGCTAACTCGAGCATCTTGGCTTGTTGAAGTGGTGTTCTACGTTTGAATTAGTCTATATCTCTGCGTTTGCAATTATTGTCAAGATACACAATCACTGGATACGAGGGCTATCTAGATACATGTAGGAGTTTAGACCTAATTCTCATGACAGCACAAAGCGAATATAGAAATAATCCCCAGACACAATGGGCTGCAATTGCCATGCTAGGACAGACAATGGCACTCGCAATTGTCAAATGTCACACATGGATATCCTAAACCACGCGACGAACTCTGCACAAGAAGGCGAACATGAAGTACACTAGGAGATCTAAACTAACCTGAATGCGAGCTCAAATCGATCATCAGAATACTGCACGTTCATTGCAACTAGGGATACAAGGCCGTACGAATTTCGACATGATTTTGGATGAAAAAGGGCACCGGAAGGCAGGCTAAAATCGGGTAGGGGTATCAGATGCAATCGATTTATGCCAATAACCATATAGAACACTGATGATCCAAGTTTTTGAAGATCGTCCGATGAGGAGCGCGCGCTCTTTGCTAATGGAGCTCGTTTGACAACTCTGAATACCTGGAAATGGTTCGAATCGTAGTCATCAACTCCCTCCAGGGTCTGCACGAGGTATCGGACAACTCGTTCGGGGTATGGCTCCGGCATCATGAGTCTGGCTTTCTGCGCAGCCGCTCTGATTGAAGTGGACCATAGATCTGCATCCTTTGGGTCATGTAACATAAGCTGAATGGATCCTACTCCATGGTAATCCTCGTCTAAAAACACGACCTCGGTTGTGAAAAATGGCCGCCCATCCTCCATCTTGTAGACTGTGACAACCTGACCCAGAGGAATTCTATTTTCGCCCTCCGTTGATGCATGCGAAGCTTGAGACTGTACTTCTTGTAGCGACCCTATTGATGCAGTGGATGACTGGCGATGAGATTGACGCAAGTGCGCCGGTTGTATATTTGGGAATGCCTCTATCGCTCGCGCCATGCTCTTGAATCGTGTCAAGTGCGTATCCGTCAGGACTAGGTATTCCTTTTTCTTTCTAAACATCGAAGTCGTCGTCTGGACTTCGCCATGGTGGAGTATCGAAACGGCACTACTCGCATTGAGAATGCCCGCCGCAAGATAGTGATACTCCTCTTCAGGAGATTCAGGAGTTGTGCCGGTAACCTCCTTATCCTCATCCACATCGGTCATAGACCTTCTCCCCAAGGAGCCGAATAACGAAGTTGGTCTGCCTTTCTGTAGTGTACGAGGTCGCAATTTGGGAGAGTGGGCGTCGGCTTTAGTAGGACTATGGCTTGTATTTTCTGTATCGATGTACATTGAAGGCGTCAGACTGCCAAAGATCGAACTTCTTTTGCTCAGCTTCTTCTTATCCTTCTGTTCCTTGTCGTTCGTGTTGCCATTGTTGATGTCGGTGTTGATGTGCGCGAGATTGGAAAATGATGCTCTGGAAAGGAGACTTAAACTCTTTCGCCGAGATCCTTTGGGCGCCATCTCATAACTTTTCTTTCGACGGGAAAAACTCTTGCTAAGCTGGACTGCAAAGCCAAATCTGAATGATTAGGTTCTTCAGGAACATTCATGCGGCAGACGTTGCGGGTTTTAATGTCTATGAAGTTTAGTAGGAAATAGGAAATTTCACCGGATTAAGCTACGATAGCTGCAAATGTATCGCTGGAGAGGTAGATAGGTAGGGTAGGTATGCTTGCTTGCTTGCTGGACGAGCATCTGATGAAAGCGGAATTGCGAATTAATGAAGATCTGAAAGTGAAACAAAAATACACAATTGAAGAGAATGAATGTATGGAATAGGAAGATGAAAAGTAAAATCAAAAAAGGAAAAAGCTAGAAAAAAAGGTGTACAGTACAGTTTGTTTGCAAGTGAATTAATTAAAGTTAAGGACCAGAAATTGAGCTTAAAATGAATTAATTGATCGACTATAGAATTATTATATATTATTATGTACCGAGTTGGGGGGTGTATAGATGGATGTATGGATAGATGGATTGGATGAATGTATGGATGGATGGATTGGATGTATGGATAGATGGATGGATTGGATGTATGGATAGATGGATTGGATGGATGTATGGATAGATGGATTGGATGTATGGATAGATGGATTGGATGTATGGATGAGATGTATGGATGGATGGATGGATGGATGTATGGATAGATGATAACGGGAACCAGCGAAAAATGGCGAATGGCTCGCCCTCGTTCGATTTTGGTGGGGAGGAGAATTGCGTTGGGTGCGGGTTGATAAAATGATTGAGATGATTTATAATTGGGAAATGCCGAATTATAAATGAGAGATGAGAGATGGTAAGACGGTAAATTCATATAAAGAGCGAGAGCGAGAGCGAGGTAGGTAGGTAGATACTAGTTAGATAACACATCAATTGTACCTCCTAATAACTATGTATTCCTTCCTTGATGGGCAAGTGGACGTGATTATAACAAGACTCTCTCTCTCTCTCTCTCTCTCTCGCGCGCGCGCTATCTCTCGTCCTTTATGTACTAGGTATATCACCGTAACAGAGGTATCACATCGTATGGTCGGGTCATACATACATACATACATACATACAGTAAATACTATGAGCCATGAGGTAGGTAGGTAGGTACCTACACCTACGCCTATCCAGGTACCGTGGATAAGGTAAAGTTAGTAATTACCTACCTATCTACCTACCTACCTACCTCCTACTAAAACCCTTTTCCAGCATCCGCTTGGCAGAAGACAAGACTGGTGGTTCGCCGTGTGATTGTTTATTTGTATGGTAGAGTAATGTGATATGTCTAGGTATCTACCTAGTACCTACCTACCTACCTACCTACCTACCTACCTACCTACCTATGGTGGTAGCTGCTACCGGTTGCAGTTGTGGCTATGGCTCTGATCATGATTATCCACATGGTCCCGCTTTTGCTTCTGGTAATTATGACATTGGGATATGTTTCCCGATGGGGTGACCGATATGTTTACCTCCCTAAGATCCCGAACCATTCATACCACCAGTACCAAGAAATGGGTGAGATGAGAATGTTAATGGACGGGTGCAGTACATGCAACGAACGCAGTGTGGTGTTGTATTGTGTGGTCTTGTGCTTTGGCTATTCTTTGCGGGAGCGGGACATCCAACCCTGTTTACTAGGTAATTCCCTTCATTCCCTAGTAACTCCCTAGTAAAGGTAAAGGAAAGGTATGGTATGTAGTTAGCACAGAGAATGTTGCACCTGTCGATTGTGCATGCAGAGAAGAGACCTATGATGTATCCACGCCATGTTTTGGGATTTTGGGGATTATCTGCCCCCGTCGGTCTGTACCAATGCATCCATCTATTTTGTGCTTGTTTGTATTTTATTTATTGTACTGTACCTATCTATCTACCCTACTGTTAAATAAACTACCATGCATTTGTCTGCGAGCATCCTCATTTGCATCCTCGAAATCACAAAATGCATTTCGAATACCCGTACCTAGCATCTGTAACCTTACTGGCTATGCTCTACTCCGCAGTCAAGCTCAAATCAACAACAGGAGATAATCCCCCTGGACCGTCTGAATCATCTGGTTGGTGATGAGCAATATCTTTATAAATGTCCATGTTAAAGAGGCGCCAGCATAAACTGGGTCATACAACCATTTTACCGTATTCTCCAGCTGTCTTTCGGTATGATCGTCGCTCACCTATCGTATATCAAAATCGCAATATGCTAAGACCGATAATGTTCTAATTCAACCTTCGGCGTCGGATGATTCGATCTCTTCAAAACTTAGATTCCTTATGCGGAGTAAATACTCTTCCATACCTCCAATCTCCTCATTTAGGTTTGGTGGTCTAATGACCTCTCAGACGTGAATACTCAGAGTATAGAAAGAAGCATGTTTTGGTGTTTCGTTTGATTTCATCAATCGAGTGCTAGTATCGAGCCTCTCCCGAAATACGAGCCCTCTTGGTTACGCTGCATCACTTCCTACATCCATCCATTCGTATAAAGATTAGCATTAATGCTGCGGTTGGTTCTGATTTTGTGAATCGTGTCAGAGGATCTCAGGGCCTGCTATCCCCTGCAGCTTCATCTAAATGATCGTATTATACACAGCTTATGCTGTACAGTGCTTTTCGGTACCTTACCGTAGTGTCAGGGACGAAAGGGATGATCTTGATTTCGTCTCATCTTTTCAAAACAGCTACCAAATTATATTCCCAACATCAAATTTCATCAGATCTGCATAACCCTACGAAAGTGGCTTGTTTTACCTCCTCAAACATCGGAGAATATTCGAGAGAGATTAAATCCTCCGGGATGTGTTCACTGTTCAGCCTTGTTGTCCATTATTACCCATCACCACTGTCAAGGGGTCCAACAACCGCAGACCCCTTGACAGCATATCCGCCTTCCTTTCCTTCAATCCACACTTCGTATTTGTTGCTTTTGTCGGCATTCTTCCCCACACAGACTCTTAGTTCTTCATTTGCGTAAAGTGGAGCCAAGTTTCTGTAATTGAACTTTTTTATCATCTCACCAGGCTGAAGTTGCGATCGCAAGACGGAGAACATGAGCACCAATGAGAGGGGTCCATGAAGGAGGAGATTCCTATATCCTTCAGACTCCCGGCAGTATTGAGGATCCAGATGTATTGCGTGAGCATTAAATGTAAGGGCCGAAAATCTAAATAAAAGGGATTGTGTAGGTGTCATTCGCACATCAGAGTCTGGTTTACGCGTGGCTATAAGCTTGGTTAATGGGACGAAGAAATCCTTGGGCAACAGTGTGGAAATAGCTTACGCCTCAAGATCTTTGGAAGCCTAGCGCAATCCTCTTTGGCAGTAGTTGTGTCTTTCTCCCGCATGAAGACGATACTCCGCGTCTCCACTAAGGATGCTTGTCCGATGTCGTCGTTGTTATCGACATGGTGACGTTGTAGTAATTGTTGATCGGCCATGTAATTTCGATCACTTACAGAGATCTTTCCTGAAGCGATTGCGCTGCTCTTTGCATCTGGATTCACCCGCAGTTCGTCTTCGGTATCAGCGAGGCCAACCCGTCTCTCAATGTTTACATACACCTTCTCGTCCCCTTCGCGCCCTTTGACCGAAACATCCACGATTCGTTCTATACAAGCTGCTCGCATGTTACCAAGACGAAGTTGCTCTCCACTCGTAGTATTGAAAACCAGAGACCCACCAGCCCACATCCGGCGCGCAAATGGCGGCCCTGGGGACTGCAGAGGATCTGTGCCATCTGGAAGTAGAGCACTGTGAGGAATTTGCGGAGAGAAATAGACTAGATGATGCGACTGGGGGAGAAGTGCTGCATCACTACACTCATGTCCGAGTGTAGTAGTGTACGGAAGAGTGAGGTCTTGGACTTTGAAGTTATCAGGGTAACATGTAGGTGGAAGGAAATCCGCTAGAGATATATTTAAGAGATGAGAAGGAGTCGGCGACAAATAATCATATATAATGTTGGGCTGGCGTGATATGAGTTCCTTGTGGAGAATTGACTGTGTGGAAGATTTTCGAGCATGCGCAGGTAGTATCAAGGAGCGATGGATGGTACGAAGACCATATGATCGAGAATAAAAGAAATTGAAAAACTTCATGCTAGATTTTATGCAGAAAGCATCTGCGAGAATATCATAAATTCGTCATCATGAACTGTGATGGGTAGAAGAAGTAGTACATAAGAGATGGAAGAAGATTTTGAACATCTGAACGATGTGAAAAAGCCCGCGACCTGGATGCCAAGAAAAGCGTTATCCTTATCGATAAGAATTCGATAAAGGTGGATGTTTGTCTAAATTTCCTTCGGTATAGCCATACCATAAATACCATGCCATTGATACTCTATTATGTTTTCTTTTGTCTATCCACAAGTTTATCTTCCCAGCTCCCGAGCCAGTGCCAATCCTGTGTGTATTTGTCGAGGCTATTCAATGCCCCAGCTACTTTTCCCTCTGGATCACTCAGCTTACTTCCCTCAAACTCAACGAAGAAAATGTATTGGAAAGGAACTACTTTCGTTGGGCGACTGTTAATACTTGTCAAATTGACCTGGTACCTCCTGAAGCAATCCAGTACATCTGCGAGTGCACCCGGTGTTCTGTGATCAATAGTGAAAGTAACCATCGACTTGGCGGCAACATCAACCTTTGTCGCAGATGTATCTACACCTTTGCGCAAAATGAGAAATCTGGTGGTATTATCATCACGATCCTCTATCCCTTTTGCCAGGATATCCAATTTGTGGATATCTGCTGCGAGCGAACTAGCAATGGCTGCACTTGTACCAGTCTTATCTGCTTTGACGATTTCGGCTGCCTTGCTTGTGGAACTGACGTCCAGTCTCTCAACCCCCTTCAAGTATGTTCCTAGAAATGCCTCGCATTGGCCGTATGCTTGTGGATGGGTGTAAATACGTTGAATGTGATTGAGACTAGATAGCGGCGTTGTCTTTGGTTTGACGGGAGAAGGAGTGGATGTGGTAGGAGTACAGGTGCCAGACATTACTGGAGAATCTGCCGTCGAAACATAACCTAACAGGCAGTGACTAACATCAAGATAGGCTTCACCGCATATTGTGACATCTTTATATAAGGAATGGCGATCTGCGAGGAGTTCTAGGGTAAAGATCACAGCTCCATTTGTAGAATTTTCAAAAGGTACAACACCTAACTCTGCTTTGCCCGATTGAACAGCCTCGAAAACATCTGTATGCCATCAGTAACGTGTTAGCGATGATTTGAAGATCGCAATACCTGGTATTCCAATGGCTGGTTGGTACTCGTATTTCTCTTTATCGAAGCGTCCAAGAGCGGCCTGGGGGTGACAGTCATCTGTTAGTCCTACTGGAATTGCATGTTGCTCATAATGTCGACAATTGAAGGGCGATGGACACTGAATTAAACGAAGATCAAGTACCTGATGAGTATAAGAAGAAATGGGCCCAAGGAAAGAGATAGCTGGTGTGCTAGAGGAGTTGGTTCTGGACTGCATTGTTTAGCTTGTGTTCACTCCTTCTCAGTGTTGACGTTGTTCGGTGGTTCGGAAAAGACTAATATAATTCCGGTGTTAAATAATAATTGGGTTCACTGCATCTCGGGAAGACTCGCGTACCACTCATACGGTCGAATTGTTTGTAGAAGAAAGTTGTGGTCACTCGTGAGAAAGTAACGGAAATCTTTGATATTTATTTTGCTACTGTTGCCGGCTCACCCCGCTACCTGTAAACATGAGAAGAAACCCCACCTTGGCACGATTTCCGCGGAAGGTATTGCTAGGTTCTTCGGATCCGGTCATCATTCAAGAAAGTGTCAATCAAGGAGAAATGGCTCTTTTGTGTATGGGGCTGTGTACTGGCTTCTGTCATCATGAGAATTTGGGGTAAATTCGGGAATATTCAAGAATTTCACAGGCATATAGCCCCAAATGAGAAACACAGTATGAAGCATTGAACTTAATATAAAAGCTGTCTGATATTTGAGTTCTGGTAACCTGATCTATCTATGGCTGATCTATTGATACTGAACTTCAGATGACCTTCTATACACTTTAATAGCAAGCAATTCTGCCAAAACGCAATCTTTCCTCGACCTTAACACACATGAGAAACATCAGGGTATCGCCTAGTTTTCACGGAATCATATATTCTGCACGAATTTGTTAGAAAAGGTGCAGAACGATCAACAATGGATCACATACCTGAAATATGGTTTCTCCGACTTACGAAGCCGTCATGACGGACCGGAGAGGGCTGGGACGGGCATTCCCTGTGTTCCCTCTTAGTCCCAAGCCAGCTGGGGAAGCCGGCTGCGCTGGGGTCGTCTGTTGCACGGCACGAGGGCGGTGTGACAGAATTTGGCTTGACGGTTCGACTGGAGTTGGCTCCTCGCCCGATGCGAGGGCATCAAACTGTCAATCTATATTATATTAGTCTCTGAAGTTAATTTTTGTCTATGAATGCTTATAAAATACCGTCGTAGTAGTCATCATCGTCATCAACTTCGGCCAATTGCTCAAAATTGACCTTGTAGCGCAAGAGGCCACCAATACCACCAAAACCCTTAACGAATTGGTTACCCTCACTGGATCTGTCCGAGACAAACTCTAATGTTGTTCCGAAATCTCTGTACTTCTCGGCGATCCATTCCAAGAACGATTCCGAGGAAACGACTTCCATTTCTTGGCCAGTCTCCTTGTCCATGAATTGTTCTCGGTTTGAGGCCTCGGATTGCTTAGTAGTATGAAGAATTGTTTGGACACCATTGCTATCCTTCAACACCCAACGGTTGATCTCGAGGTTCTCAAAAACGATCAAGACCTCAACAGCACCTAGTTCCAGAGCCTTCAAAGTATCCTCAACACCATAACAAACTCGTCCTGTGTCTTGACTGATCTCCTCAAAGTACTTTCCAATGAGCTTCTTCTCCTGGATGAATTTGACATTGCTAAGTGTCTCGGCTGAAAGCTCAATAGCTTGATTGAATCCGTTCTCACCACCATAAGAAACATCAACAACTTTGATAACCTTTGTAGCCAAACGGTTGTCGAACAAGTCAGACTGGTTGAGATCGTTCTTGAAGTCGGCAGAACCAGCCAAGATAATACCAGCTACGTTGACTTTATCTGCTGTAATGAAGTTCTGTACAGCTAATTCGGCAACCTTTCTGACGTAGTTGTGACGCTTTTCCTCACGAAGACGCGCGAAACGAAGAGCAGATTGTCCACCACGTCCGTGCTTCTTTGGCAAATCGACAGAAAACTTGTGAACAACGTCTCTGGTGTTTCCACTCAATGTACCGAAGAGGGCTCCATTTCCGTCCATGATGATGAAGCCGAACTTCTGGTCAGACTCCAACAATTCAGCAAGAGCTTCCGTGTGGAATTTGTTGTCGCAAAGGTAGAGAGATGTGTTGATGGGCTTGAAGGGCTCGAAATCGATGTTGACCTTTCTTTCCTTTCCTTCCGATGTCAAAATTTCACCACAGTAAACAACCAATCCATTGGGCGGGACTTTGTTATACAACTTCAATCTTTGTTGGGTAGACGTGATAGCAGAAAGAACGGATTGTCGATTTACACGAGACTTGATGTTCGATGCGGTACCCTATATCCAGGTTTGAGTCAGTATATAATAGGCAGATATCAAGAAAAAGCGGTAACATACGTATTCTTCTGCCAACATCTTCGCCGCACGGGAGACTTGATCCTTTGGCGCTACATGATATGTTAGAGAGTATGCAAATAGTATATCGACGTGACATCTTACGAATAATAAGAGAAATCATGGAGGTTCCATTTCCACGCGCAGCTTCGAGGCGCTTAATCAATTTTTTCACCTTCCATATCTCGATATTCTTCTCGGCCTCATTTGCCTGAGCGTCACTCATATTGGCGGATAATGAGACAAAACCACTTAGACAATTTGACCTTTATGAATGATTTGACCTGTAAGTGGTTGGACAATATCCGTTGACTCTGCAATTTACAGTTGTCAAGATGTAATCTATTCGACTTGTCTTTGTCGTATTTGTGACGTGGGCTTAGGGTCAGAGTGTGGGTGGTGGTTAGAAGAAATTTAGTGTGCTAGTAAAGGTTAGGCGAGGGGTCGGGAACTTTCGAAGTGAGTGTGAGTGTAGGTAAAATAATAAGTAGGAAGGAAAAACGTCACTGGATTGAATTTTAGTGGAGAAACTTTTACATTCTCTCAAAATCATGATAATATCACGAGGTTGATGTTTCAATTTAATATTTCTAGTTATATGAAAATGCATGCATCTCAGCATCTATTAGGTAGGTATGATACCTACATTCTAACACATTGACAATGATGATGATGATGATGATGATGATGATGATGATGATGCCGACAATAGGATATACATCAGTGACATCAGTTTCTTCGATGATTGCTTTTGCCAACCCTACAGTACGCCATATAATCTCTATCTTGAGGAGATGGTCGCCATCTATGATACACTACTGCGCTGTATAGAGCCTCTACACCAGATGACTCTCTTCAGTAACGGTTGTCCACGATATAATATTTCCAGCTTTGTATGACTCTTCATCCCACCTCACCTCGCCCTACCTCACCCCATTACAAATATCTATCACCGTTTCTTCTTTGCGTGGTTTCAAGGCATTGCAGCACTCCGAGATTTTCTCGCATCTTCATCCGCATCGCTCTGTTGAAATTGTGACGATTAGGCTAAGAGTGGTATTGTAGTGTAATATGATATCTCAAGTCATTATCTCAAATCACTATTTCAAGTTGTTATTTTAAGTTATTATTTTAAATTATTATTTCAAGTTATTATTTTTACTTTCAAAGTATAGAATTCATATATTATATTTTGTTCAAAATATTTAGTTATATAATTTGTATAAGACCAGGCCTCAGATTTCTTCGGATGTCGTTGTGATCTTACTCTTTCTTGTTTGCTTTTCCTGAAATAATGTCTTATGAAGCTCTCACCAAAACAAAGAAGCTCCTCTTACCATGCCTCACGGCTGATTTCTTGCACTGTACCATTTTGATAGTCTAAGTCACAATCTGGCAGTAAATAACGATTCTATATCTATTTCGTGGATGAATCACTGGTGGGTCAACTTTAATCCGAAATTGGAAATATTCAATTTTCGGAAAGCTACAAGTTTCTGCTGAGTAGGTGAATACAACTCTAGTTTGCTTGATTCATTATTAACTTGATCCCCCAGGCATCTTCCATTACCAGGCTATTGTTGTTAGGTCCAGCCCAAGTCATCGAGGGCCATTCGTCCTGGTGTTCAAGTTTCTTTATCGGAGACAAGTCCGAATATCCAGCTCAGTCTGCGAGATCGTATACATTTCAGTAGGTTTACTCGAGCTTGAAAGTGAAGGTTATTCCCTCGTTTCTAGCGACAATGAGCTTCGAAGTTAACCTTTGTTTTTCGAGTTCAGGAATCATCCCCTCTCAAGCTTCATATGGTGTCTACGGGAACTTGCGACACTTCCGTTGCGTGTCATATAGGCATCTCATGAGGGGTATTTCGTCATTATTCTTCACATGATTCTAACAGCAATTATAGCAGAGAGCAGAGGTAAGGATCTCAAAAGTTTTCCATGCCTAGGTTCGGTTTCTTTGTTCTAGTTTAAGCACCAACTTGACTCTGCGGGAAGTCCCGGATATTCATCTTTGAACGACCTATCTAAATAGATAGAATCTTATCGTGAAGTCCTTTAGATACTGGCTTGTCACAGCTAAGTCAGAACTATTTCATTTGGGAGTGTTTGAGCAGTGGGCTCATATCAGCGAAATATTCAGAATGTTAGAGAGAGTCGACTTCTGAGAGTGAGTAGATTGTTTCAATAATGACAGGTATCGTTATGTTCAATTGCTAAGCATGTAAAATACATGAATTCCGATATTGAATTTCACCATTCAAAGAAAGTACAGAAATTCTTGTGGTCCCACTATTAGATACTTTGGGCAATTGATATAACCTCTAGCTTTTTGCCATTCTCTGTACGATCATTTCCGCCACAAAACTTCTGGCTGTCCAGTTTCAGCTTATATCTTGATATCCTTTGGATCCAACGATTGATTGATGGTGTAAAATCACGTCTATGCCGAATTATTATCTCGTATTTTTATTTTTACTTGGGGTCTTTACCGACAGCCTCATGCTAGATCCTCCCACCCATTCATCATCCTCCTGAGTACATGCCGGACGTTTTCCTGACTTATTGGTGACTGAGAGCTTTGGGTCCTTTTGCCAGTTCTTGCAAGTCTCCAATGGCCCTTCAGGATTTAGAGAGCATCTTAATGTTTGTGGGTCGACATCCCCGCACTCGTACTGTATCCACAACTTATCACCGCACATTTAGAATGGTATGGTCTGGTTTCGCCTCAGTACCTGCTTATCTGATAGAGTTTATTCATGCGTTTGGTGACGCGAACCTCCTGACAAGATTGATCTCTGAGTGAGTGCTTGGAGTGAAGTTTTGAATTTGTGTTCCAGATAGGATCCAAAGTATTTGTGTTTGTTCATATCTTTACAGAATGTCTGAATTAGGAGAAACCTTTCTGAATAAATATTTTACTGCTCTACCAATATCAGAAACCTGAAAGAGTTTTCATGGCTTCCACCACGGAATCTGCCGGCGGATTCATGCGGGGCATACACACAGTTTTAAAACATGACGATTGATACACGGTGACAAAGAGATCATAGCGGTAGAGAAAAGACCTATTCCAAAATGACGTGAGATCTATCGATTGAAAACTACCAATTTGTCGTACTGGTATTGCGAAGACATACTATACTCTACGTTGCAATCTTTGATATCGAAAGAAAAGATGGATATCGGCTTTCTCCCTGCCAAGTGGTGAATGTGAAGTTTCAATGTCTGAACTTTACTCAATCCAAAGTGAAATTAACGATTTTGATAGCTTGATTCTTCTCTTTTGATACAGTAGTTTAAGAGCTTTTATTTTCGACTGCAATCTAAAACATTGGGATACTCTCTAGCAGGACTCAAAGAATCTATATTCGTTTCTCTGTCTCAAGTATCCAGGTGGTTTCCGTCGCAACACTCTCGAAGCACGCTATTCTGGCCGGAAAAGACTTTTTGTAGCGCACCCTATTGTCTGGGATCTCAGAGATGTCTACCTGGAGTTTCCATATTAGTCTGCTCATTCTATTCGAACATTGTGATGGCGCTACCTCGTGAAGGAAAAACTTTGTACATACCATTTCCTCATCGCGAATTTCCATGGGCTTTCTCCACTACACGTGATTGTACTTTCTTGCTCGCCGCCTTCGTATCATCAAAAGAAAAACAATCTCTAAATTTCTAAGGTCTGGGCGAAGAATCGCAGTCGACAACGTCGCTAGTCTTGGCGATGATATCTTCAGGGTTTCACTGGTCGGATGTCAGCGATAAGCTGAGATTCAAAGCAGAGTACTTCACCAAGCCTACCTTTCAATTTCTTTTGAGCACGCTCAGCAATCATAGACAATCTTTTTCTTGAAGCCCTTTCAGGACAGAGATTGGGAGCGAAATTGCTTAGATGGTCGGCATTTGCGTCATGCCATTGCACATTGCAAGGAATCCAGGTGAGCTTATCTAATATCACGTCCTTCACGCTGCCAAACGTCTTACCAGGGATACTTCCCCAATCGATGCACCTTCCTGGACAGCGATATATGGCTGGATCGTAATGTCCCATCGGGCCTCTCGCATCCCTTGGTTGTTCTGTAGTCTGGCGAGTGGCACAACTCTCGAATGACCGACCGGCTGGATTTTGGTCGCAGCGGATTTCAGCATAGCGTAAATCGCCGCACCAAAATTGAACCCACTGTCGCTGACACATTGCTGTAATCGAAAAAATAATTTGTATGTGGCCGTTGAAATATCTCGAGTCTGGATAACAGGTATCTTGAGATCGTAATCTTGGTGTGCAACGTCTGATGTTGGCTTAATGAATGATGCGTAACATGTTTTTTTGCTGTTCTTGATTTTGATTTTGATTTTGATTTTGATTTTTTGAAAGATATCGATGAAGTAGAGAGCACTTAACTTCTTGGACTTATTTCCTACCCTTGTCGCTCTTTCCTACTTCTGATTATGGAAATGGCCTGCTTAGGCTGACCTTCCCGAACCAGTTAGCTAGCGGAGAATAAAGAGGGTGTCATACAACACTGTTATTGCAGTAAAAGTGGATTATTGGACTGTAGTCTAGGATATGTTTCGATTTGAATAGAATTTTGATGGTATGACTGTTCTAGGAATGTGATGTTTGAATTGATTGTAGATGTTCTAGATAACTTCAATGTTCAAGATCACCTCGATTTCCGGGACCATTTCGAGCTCTAGGTTAACGCTAATTTCAGCTTTCAGAATAGATTTAATGTTCAGATCAAATCATGAAAATACTTAAACGGCCTTTGAAATTCAAGTTCACGACAATCTCCAGAGGTCTCTCTCGTAGTTAGATTTAGTTCGAATGGCGGAATATATAGGTACTTCCAGGTTGTTGTGATGTTTGATCTTGTTATGTTTTTGACAACATTTTGTAACACACGTATTTGGATCAAGTGATTTTCTCCTCTACTCTAATAATTCTTTTCCGGAGGCCGGCTTTTGAATTGAATGAATCCATTAACCTCAACGGATAAACCACAATTCATGATTATAATCTCAGTCTGATCAAGGGGCAAGAAATTTCCCATTGACTGGTGTTTAATCCAGGAAAAAGAGCCATTATGGAGGCAGTTTTTACAAGGTAGTACAGATATTGGCATTTTGACAATCAATTGTTTGTACTAGGTGTATACTTCCGCTGTACTGTTTGCTACTAGTGACTCATGATATGTGAAATTTCTTACAAATTATAAATCAAATAGAAGAGCTTTTCACCCGCGTTCATTCGTCGTCTCCTGCGTCATGACTCCATCGCTACTATTTTGCTTTCAAAGTATGATGTACAGTAACCACTTGCTAGGTGGAAATCACGATCGGAAATTGACCCCAAATGACAAAATTGATGAAGTCGGAATGCAACATCTTTGATAGTTTAATAATTGAAATTTTGACTCCTGATGAACAGGACAGCCGAGAAGAAGCCTGACAAATTTTTGTTCATAGATACTTGATACATATGAATAAGTATATAATAGACAGAGAAATTTTGTTTCATCTACTGTTGCATCTGAATCCAACCCGGTCGGGCGAAATCTTGAAAAGTTGACTATTCCACTTGCGTTGTAGCACCCCCACTAAGCGAGGATTTTTAGGGGAATTCTAAACAGGGGAATGTCCCATCTCAACCCGCCCTCTCCTCAGGAAAAAGAACAGAACGTTCTTTAGGGAGGATGATTGAAAAGGATCCAAATCGAAGACACGTTCGATAAATCATCTGAAAATTGACTGTCCATCGTAGTCGTTATTGGATCATGTGATGAAGGAGGGCAGGCGAGATGTCTGCATCATGATTTTTGAAAAAGGTGGGAAATTAGGCTCTGCAGATTCATGTGAGTAGGGAGATCGGCTCGCCTGGGACTAAGTTCATTTAAAACGGGCAGATAGCTCCATCATTTAAGGTTCTACTGGAAGCTCGCCTCTAGTTTGATTTCCCTCCACCCCCTTACGAAGCATGCTGGCAATCACAAAAAAAGAGAGAAAGAAGAAGAGGAAGAGCGAACGGTATAGTTGATGTATATTGATGGCTAAAGCAATCTGAAAATTGTCCCTTACAGAGAGTAAATACTGTAGAAGCCTGCGTATTTATACGTGTTTTCTAGGAGCCAAAAGTTTGAGATGATCACTGTCTCCGAATTATCAAGGGAAACCGGGCTAACCAATACGGCCAACACTCCACTACCTTATCCTTTTGGTTGTTGAACATACAATCTTAATCGCAGGTATATCTTGTTCCCCATCGCTACAAGTCACCCGTCTCCCGCTCGAATTTACCCCTTGCTTTCCCTATTATTAGAATGTACTCGTACCCTCATATGCCCGTTGAAGTCCATCATACAGTACTTTCAAACAATACGGATAGATGTATTGAGATCAAAATCATCAGCGGTTTTAAAATAAATTGTAAACTTGAAGCCACAATCATCTAATCACAAAAACAAGAGTAGTTTTCTAGATGAAACAACTTAAAACTCATTGAGCATATGGAATCTCAGTGACAAAATTTACCATCCGTTCATCCTTTCCCTGCCTTTCTTAATCTCGACTCCATCACTTCTCTCGAACATTCAATTTTCATCCCGTATCCCTTCACTAATTCTCAATTTATAAATCCTGTCCTCTTGGTATTATAGGCAGGATAGAATTATTGAAATTTAACCATCTCTATCTACATCTAAACTACACACATTCATCATTGAGTATGCATTTCAAGTTCCAGACACATCTCGGCTACGTCAGTAACGGTGTGGTCAAGTCCACCATTCACTTATATCACACTTCACAAATTCTCGCTAACATCCAATCACCCCTCTCTCATCCCATCTAGTCTCGTCACTACTCTTCATATTCACTCCGCTACACCGCTTTCACCGAAAAATGAAAGCATCCAAACAGAAAAAAAATCCATCGACCCCTCAAACGGTATTCTAAGATCTAGATAACAAAAATATATAAAGTGGTTCATTAAAGCAAAACCTTACCGTCCCTCGAGGGACGGTAAGGAAACCCCCGGAAGGGTTTTTTTTCGATTCGAACCAGGCGTGTTAACTCCTCCGCCAAACCGCATTTGACCTGGGCAAACAAGCCTGTTTGCTGCCTTTGCGGTTTGGACGAGGGAAACAATCTTACCACGGTATATATAGTAGAGTCTCGGTGGGGCGTGCTGGATGATAAAGGTATTGTATGTCACCTTTGAGATACTTTTCTTGCTGCCTGGGGGCGCCTGAAAGCACCCACAGGCCAAAAATCATTTTATAGGCTCTTGTTATTCTTGACAAGTGTTTGGCAAGTTTTGCTTGGATTGTTGACATGCTTTTTAGTGGTTGCGAATGCGTCAGAAGGGTAAATGGACAATACAATTGAACAAAACTGTCTTCTGAACAGTGCCGACAATGAACAAAATGTATTTGCAGTTCTTGAATAGATCATTTGTGCGAAATCATTAGGTCTCGTCTTCAAAAATTCATGTGAATGGAAGGAAATCAATGTTTGAATAAATAAGAGATGTCAGTCTGCACTCTTTCATGGCTCGTTCTATGCCACTGATCGCACTCACACTCCCCGACGAGAATATATTATCTACCGCGAGGCGCACTAGCAGCAGTAACAATCACTCAAGCAAGGACGCTATTGATTATTTGTCCAAGTAAAGACTGAGAATTGACCATGTAATGTTGAATGTGTGCGTCAATTTGCATAGGTGGAGGATATTGCTCACTAAGTTTAGTTATTTGATCAGAAGAAATCACGTCAAAACATGAAACTATCTATTCTCTATATAACGAAGCAACTGTTCCTGAAGTGATTTGTATATGCACCCTACACACGCCCAAAGATCCCATCTCAACGTAAAAGTTCCAGCCTTCCATTGTCCTTACTTTCGCCTCTGTGACCTCATCCGAGAATCATACGAGGAAGACTCTCGACATTGCGTTTTTTGGTATGAATTCTTCGAGCAAAGGGGAGATCCGGGAGTAACGAGGATCGTTCGCCACTGCCACGCGTTGTAGTCTTACTCTCGGAGGTTATCATGAAGTCTTAGGATTTATACCCGAAATTTTGTGATAGGATGACTAATATTCGCGGTCATTTCCACATTGAATGTCTTCAACAGAATTCATACATATAATGAGATCAATTTATCAAGTGAAGTGAATTAAAGAAAGCCGGATCCGGCTTCGACTCAAAAAGTTGGGCACTGATTCTATGACTGATGATGATTGTATCTGCTAATTTTTCACGAAATGCCGCAACTGTTCCTGTAGATAAGAATTGCAAGATTAGAGTCTTTATAATGATACCCAAGTTAAGAGTCTTGGTGCGGAAATTCCTGGGTAATACCCGGGGTGGATGAGAGACGATGGGCATACAAGGAAGAAAATGATATTGGGCAGAAAATTTCCTTCAAAATGGCATGGGTTGGGGTTCCAGACTGAGAAGAACGATCATATGTATCAAGTCGGGTCAAAGTATTTCTAGGCCGCTGCTGAAGTGACCATGGCATGGCAGGTATTCTTTTATCGTAATATTGGGCCCAATTCGATCAGAGATTTTGCAATAAACGCGATATGTTGGCGGCCATGGCCTTGAAACTTTTTATATGAACTCCACATGAAATGTTAATTACCCAATGATATAATGTCCGTCTCGTAAACCGAAACTCCGACCCCAAAAGATTTCCGCCTCCACGCCAAGATTCGTCCCCGCCATTCCAAGTTCCAACCTTCCGTCCATTTAAATCCAATGCCAAATTCCAATCTTACATGCATTTTAAAGTGCCGATCCATGCTTCGTTGCCTTACGCGCTCATACCAACTCTCCTGCGGCCCGCCTTAAGATCCTCGCGAACGAATCGGCTCCGGACCCCAACCAACAGCAACTCCCCGCCCCCTCGCATACCTCTATAGTATCGATATTACTACCTGATTCCTGGGCCGAACTAAGCATGAGTCGGGCGTATGCATCTGTTAATACGTTATCTAGTGGGCACAGAACGTATGTGGTGGGAATTGTGCGCCATGCCGCCATTGTCGTTCTGTGATATAACACCGATGTGGCTTGGGGGCGCATGATGTGTGAATACTGAATGGTTAGTCAACGATGCTTTGATATGGCTGGAATAACTTACATATTCGGCGTGCTCATGCGGTAGGTCATTGTAAAAGTATTGAATTGCCGATGTAGATGGGATAGACACAGTAACAGCCTTTTTCTATCGTTTAGTGAACGTAAGTTAGAACTCAATACAGAACAAGCGCAAAAATCCAAGCTGGAATGAGGAACCAATACCTCTCGACTACATTGTAATCGCGAGTCTCATAAAAAAAAATCCGGCGGAATAAAAAGCGTGGATTGATTGACTTACACGTGAAGCTGTATTATGCTGCATATATGGTGGAAAAGAACTATAGTCTCCTTCTTCGCACATTTTAAACCCTTCCTGCACAATCCATGCCATGACGAAAACGATCCGTAAAACTCCACCTCTGAGGCCTCTTTGTGCCCTCTCTGTTTTCCCTAAGCCTTGCAAAGCATCACCGCCTGGAACACCAGCATAAGAATGTAAGACCAAAATGACATCGTGACCTGCTTCTACAAGATGTGACACTGAACTTCGAATTGCTCTAGTATCCTGCGCAGGATCGTTTGACGCGTGATTTCCATTCGTAAGTACTGATGGAAGCTGAACTGGAAGGACAGGATAACCGTAATGACCGAGAAGGGTTCTGAGGGGATCAAATATAGCTGAAGTGTGGCAAAAGCCAGGAACACACACGAACGTAGGCATAGACATTGAGACAGTTGATTCAGTGGTAATGATCCGATTGATGATGGAAACAATATACTTCGAACACCTGCTACATATATAGAGAAATCCATCTTTACACCCGGAATACCTCCAACAGTATGCTGAGAGACCGTGGCCATCAAAACGCAAATTTTCGACCCATAGTCATTGTAGACCCCCCGGAAACCTCTGAGTTGAGGCTGCGGTAGCGCGAGTAATTCTTGCATCGTACAGTTATCCAATAGTAAATGACAGTGGTACAATCTCCCAATCATAGCTCTTTTTAAGGTTTCATAACCAATGAATACCCGCCACTTGTTTTCAGGCTACTCAATTAGAAAGCACATTCTCTCTATAAATTCTCGTGCCCAAATTTTTGATGGTGGAATTCACCTTCCGGATCGATCGGATTTGGGTAGTATCCCTAGGATTCGACTCCTAAACCCGACACTTAAGGCTATTCATGCTAGGGATCTCACGAGGTATGCTTCGGGTTGAACCCCATCATCCACTCGTCTATGCCCAGCGCCACATTATGATGCGAATTTGGGTCTAGAAGCCTTCAAAGGGGGGTGAGAGGATGACGAGCGAAAATAACAGTACAAAGTACGATGATAAGCAGAGAAGCTAAACAGCGGCAGTGCTAAGGAATAGTCGACGTTTCAAACCACAAATCGTAACTCTTAAGATAGTTATGATGCATGAAGCTCTATATATATCACAGCTTTGTCATTTGTACGAGGACACCTTGTGGCTCGATTGACAACTTTGCACTGCCTCCAACATCTAACTCTAAGAACTAGTATTCGGATCAAAAAAAATGTCAGTATTCCCAGCACTACCAGGAAAATAAATACGACACGAAAAATGCTATTGTAAAGCTCGCCCAAGCGCATTCGTGTTGGAGTATTTCCGGCATGTAGGTTTGGATCGAGAGAAGCTCACGATCATGTAGATCAAAAGGCCCTAAAATCCTTGACCAGCTCGAGCGCGCGGAACGGCAGGATGGGGCCGTATCTTTACTGCCGATCGTCAGCTTCTGCAAGTTCGTGTTTTATGATGCTGGATGCGTTTGTGTAAGAAGCTCTCAACGACTTGTTTCCATCGTCGAATTGTAAGACTAATGTGGGATCTTGGCTGGGCTGGCGTACCTGTCGCATATGGGTAGAATGATGGCGCTTGAGACATTTTCAATTGTACGGGAATACTTCCAAATGATGTTGAACTTCGATGTTTTTCGAAACTCAAACAATCTAGGAGTCTATAGTGAGAATAAAATATATCGGACATCATTGTAGGAGCTTCTCGAACAAGAAAGTTCGGACGATAATGGCGACGCGTGAAGAGGCCGCTTACTAAGGATGATCTAAAATGGTAACCGCCTATATTCACACCCCGCCAACGCTACATGCACCCCACTCAAAATGGCCAACAATTGCAACTGTTTCAATATTTGTTCGGCCCGTATGTCTCAGGGTCCGCGACGGAGTGACCAACAGAGACTTTACAAATTTTAAGCGCCGGCTATGAATACCATATAAGCCAACTTTTTATTTAGTAGGAGGGGCGTATGAAAGCTTTACCGCTATTCAAGCGACTTCGTACGATAAATCTGTACTGTAGTCACCTAGCAAGTGATGGGGGCTAGTCTCAGCTTCCTCTGACGAGGTTGGTGCGCATCGAGCCTTTTTCCGATGTCAGCATTGTTTTAAACTTCAATGGCTATAGCATAAACGCTTGATATTGCTGTGCATAGTTAGTTCTAAGCTTACAGTAATATAGTCGGCAGCAATCTAGGAACAGGTAAAATTACCGGTAGTTCAACCCCGATCTAACAACATTTCGCACCGAGGTCGGTTTAACTGTCAAAAACAGCCAAGCTATTAGAGCCGTTGTGCCTGTACTGTCTTCTGCTTCTTGTTTGTCTCCTGCCATGCAAGTGTCTCCACTTGTAGTTTGTACTCCGAGCATTTAAACCTGACTACGTGCGGGGGTTGGTGGGGATGCGGGGTTGAACAAATAATCCGAGCCGAATCCATGTACCTAGGTACTTGAGTGTACATAACTTGGTAATTGTTGATCATTTCCAAAAGTAAGTGGGATCTACCAGTACTAGAGATCTGTACGGTGTCTCCTATGCTATTCAAAGGAAGAGTTTGGAACAGTTGCTAATGCATCACAAACTATGTTAGATTGTCTTATCATTCTGCAAAAAGAGAATTCGTCTGTAAGAGTTATATGTACCATTTATGCAAAGTTTGCATGTCTAACTCCGGATACTCTTCGTATCTCTCAATAGTGACATGTATGTTGAGCTACGGAGTGCAGCATTACCCCGCTAGGAATCTTGCTTTTACTCGGTCTGTGAAGTCATTGGTAGACAAGTGGATTGTACCTGGATGCAACGAGTAAATACTCCGATTGGAGTTTTTTGACCTATAAAAGCTGGTGTCTCTCCAGAAAAGTTTCTTCGCACACTTTTCTTAATTTCTGGCAATTGAAGATGTCGACAAGAAGTATTTTCGGCGTTCTCGCTACCTTGTTAGTTTCCAGAGTGGATGCTGTCAACAATGGCCTAGCTAGAACCCCCCAAATGGGATGGGACAATTGGAATGCCCTAGGTTGTGACGTGTCCGAGGAGCTTCTTCTTCAAACAGCCGATTTGATTGTTGATTATGGTCTTAAAGACCTAGGATATCAATATGTCATTCTCGATGATTGTTGGAGTAACGGGCGAAACGCTAGCGACAATAACACTCTTGTCGCCAATGCGGATAAATTTCCGCAGGGCATGAAGGCTGTAGCAGATGCAATTCATGATCTCGGTTTGAAATTTGGCATGTACTCAGATGCTGGCGAATACACCTGTGGTGGATACGCTGGAAGTCTCGGATATGAAACTGTCGACGCGAATTATTTTGCTTCGGTGGGAATTGATTATTTGAAATATGATAATTGTTACAACACTGGACAAGCAGGAACTCAATATTTGAGTTCCCAAAGGTAAGGAACATTATTCTGCGGGCAGATACAAATGTATTGGAGACTGGTAATTTTAGATGTTTCTGTCAAATCAGGCTAATTATATGTTTCAGATATCAGGTGATGGCGAAAGCACTCAATGCTACTGGACGACCTATTCTTTACTCCCTTTGTAACTGGGGAGAGGACTCTCCATGGAATTGGGGATCGACTACAGCAAACAGTTGGAGAATCTCCGGTGATGTGTATGATTCATGGGACAGAGCAGACGCAAGATGCCCATGCGATGGCCCTGATGCATTCAACTGTGCATTACCCGGCTTCCATGTAAGCTATCCTTCTACCGACATACTTTGGACAACCAACTAAAGCAAAATATATAGTGCTCAATTGTCAACATCATGAATAAAGCTTCTTTCATCGTATCAAAAGCCCAACCAGGTGCCTGGAACGACCTGGATATGTTGGAGGTTGGCAATGGAGGAATGACCGACTCGGAATATGTAGCTCACTTTAGCATGTGTAAGTCTTCCAGATTTATTTCCGAGTCAAGAAATATATGAAGATCAAAATTCTAACAACAAACAGGGGCAATCGCAAAAAGTCCCCTCATTCTCGGCAACGACCTCCGCAAAATCCAACCCGCCGATCTAGCGATCATCTCCAACCCGGCCGTTATCGCCGTGAACCAAGATCCGCTAGGTAGTAGCGCTGCTCGTCGCTGGATGTACGCTACTGACGCTACTGACGAAAACGGTGTTGCCACAATCCAAATGTGGTCTGGCGCTCTCCAATCCACCACCAACAGCACGACCAGTGACTTTGTCCTCCTCCTCATCAATGGTGGTAATGAAACTCTTACCATGAACGCCACATTGGCCGATATCTTCATTGACTACGGAACTGGAGGCACAGCCAAACAAGTCTCCATGGAATGGGAATTACGTGATCTATGGGCAAATCGCATGGGTAATGCTACTGCTCAAGCAATTATTCAGGCAAATACCGCGACTGGAAATGCGACGACGGGCTATAACGCTACGACGGTTGGGGAGGGAAGATATAATGCGACGGAAATGAGTTATGAGGCTGGGTTGGCGGCGGGAAGAAGTGAACTGTTGGGGAATTTGACGGGGACGGTTAAACCTAGTGGAACAGTGGTTGCGGATGTGGAGGCGCACGGGGTGAAGATGTTTAGAATGAGACCGGTGGAAACTGGTTTGAGGAAGAGGGATGAATTGTAGTTCGCGGTTCCGAGCGTTGTAATGCAGATAATGTGAAAACAACTTCCAGAATTGTTGCAGTTGTTAAAAATTATATAAAATCACGTAATAATCAAAAAGTTTCGCACAAATCGTACATTTTGGAACCCGAAGAATCGAATGTCTGCGAAAATTCGGTGTGAGATCTAGATATGTCGTTAGATTTATCACGACATCCATAATCTAGTTCTACCCTGTCTTGAGTAATACTTTTCCAGTGTGTCGGGACAACTGTAACACATGAAGTCACTTTTACAAAGCACCGCCCACAACCCCCACAATCCACATCGCAATCCTAACATGCAACCCCACCCTCCTCTCACTACTCTGGAACTCCTTCAGCCCAATCTCGCTTGCCCACTCTCCCAACCCATCTCTTTCCTGTCTTAGTCTCTCTTGCAACTCCGGATCACGGGTTACGATCATGACACCTGTTTCGAGGTCTAATGTATAGGATCGTTTGGTGTAGTTACTACTACCTAGTACTGTGATTGCTGGCTTGGGAGTCTCGGTTGAGGACGAGGAGGATGATTGGGTGGGGAACGATACCCAAAGTCCCTTAGCGTGATACGTCCAACCTTCAGGCTCGTTGACAGTTCCCCTTTTCCATTCTCGTAGAGTGATGGATGGAAATGGTCCCTGAATTTTCTGAGCTGCGACGAGAAATTTGCGGAGGAGAAGGGTGTAGGCTGCGGGGAGCATGCCGGAGACTCCAGGGGATTTGTAGAAGCCGTTGGCGTGAGGGGAAGCGGTTAGGACGGTGTTATTTTTTGATGTTGTGTGGAGGAGCAGGGAGGTAAGAGTTGGCGACGGATTGAAATAGCCGGCTGTGAAAGTCCAGGACGAAGGAGTGGTGGGAGAATTGAGGAAGGTAAGGAGACGGGTGAGAAGGGGAAGCTCGGTGGATGTGTCGGAGGTCGAAGGGAACAACGGTGTAAATTGGGAGATGGGATAGATCGCTGTGTTAGCTTGAGGATTGCTGGATGTCGAGTTCGATGTTGTTGAAGCTTGAATCAAGGGTGTGAGAACGGATGATGCATGAGAAATGTATTTTTGGGAGTCTGTCAGAGGAGAAGGACAGGAATTTGAGGAGGGCCACTCAAGCGTGTATCCAGCTGGCAGTTGAGGGTCTGGCGATACCAAGAAGCTCAAACTCGAGACTGCATTCTGGATGTTGTAAAAATACTGAGTGACTTCTTTAGAGGAAAACACATGATATCTATCTTGCCGGTTTGTGAAATAGTCACTGGAGAGATTTGCACTTTTCGGGTCCTGTTAGTATTCAAACCTACCCAAAATTGGATTTCATGACATACCCGGATATGATAATTTCATCATCCACTCCATATAACTTCATGTGTTGCAAACCCCATCCCTCATTAATTCTTTTTGGAATATACCTTTTCCTTAATCCATTCAAATTCGGGGTATGGTACATACGAATCTCGACCCTATCTGCACCAAACTCTGACACCAACGGGGCGAGAAGTGAAGCACATGACGCATTGGGAGACTCTCTCGTACCTCTTAAGGCATCAGTAAGAATACTAAGTTTCAAACCCGGTTTTGCACGCAAAGCTTGCTGAAGTGTGGATATCTACACATATAGTTATTATTCATGTATACTATTAAACTGGGAGAATATCTGTATGTACTAATTCATGTTCTGTTTTTCCTATATACAAAGTCGATAAGAAAATTCGTGTCTCTGCTGCCAGTATTTTGCTCTATATCCGTCCATCAGCATCTGTCCCATCCGCCAATGTCCAATTGCAGTATATGCCAACCTTCAACGTCTCGTAGAATTCTGATGGCGTCCGTAAAATTTGTATCTGCGAGCCATCCACCTCAAATTTTGGAGCTACTTTATCACACTCATTTGTAAAAGCGCCTAGTATCGAAGCAGGAGAGGGTGTTGTGGGCGTAGTAGCAGTAGAACCTGTAGATGTCGAATGTGCTCGCTGTTTCATTCGTTGTAATGGTGGTTGAAAGGAGGGACCCTTCCGAATGCGAGAACAGCGTGTAATAGTCCTAACGATCATGTCTTTCTGTGTGTTTCTGAATTCCTCTATAAATCCTCGATTTGCGATGTTGAAGATTTGAAATTTCGACAAGCCGATAGGATAGTGATAGCGTTTTGATATCGCTAGCGCAAAAGCGGCGTGCCAAATGAGCGACGACTTCATGAACCTCAACTTTCATTGATTGTTAACAATTGAGCAAGCCCATTGCAACTTCAACAACATGTCTACAATTCTGCGGACTTTGCGCAACCTGCGCAGAGCAGGTATCAAGGTATGAAGACCCTCGAGATGCGCCTGCTAGATTGCTGATCAAATTATAGGATGCTCTTCATCAAATGCACGTAAGTACACCTTATGACGAGTCCACCACAAAGCGAGCACCGTTGCTGATAGATGGATTTTGAAATATAGTACCAAGGTATTCAATGCTCGAAAAGATAGCTGAGAGACTGAAGCTCATGGAAAACAGGTGATACCAAGGCCGGAACCTTCATCGCAAAGGATCGATATGGCAACAAGTATTTTGAGAACCTCGAGGATGAATTACCACGTACGAACCTGCCATAATATGTCATCTACGTGTCCGATTACGCTTACACCAACATACAGTACGCACAAGATGGGTAGACTACAAGGACGACGAGTTCAGCCCGTAAGGAATATCCAGCGCCTCTCGCCGAGTTGTCTCGTTCTAACATACTATCCGTAGATGTCAAATCGAGCCCGGATGGCACGCATGGATCTCATACATGGTAGATAAGCCACCGACCGAAGATCTTCTCTTGCAGCAAAAACAACCCTGGCAGTTACCGGATCATAGACCAACTTTCACTATGAGCCGTGCTGCTTTCAAGACTTATTCTACGTGAGTGCTGATGTACAGCCTGTTGGTCAAGCATGTGCGTTTGAGCTGATGTTTTCTCTTAGTGTCAAACCAAAGATTACTGCCTGGACCCCTCAGACTGTCGAAAGAGCGTGAGATGGAAATATGGTCTGTGATGTACATACGCGAAGAGAATGAGATTAGCATTGCATGTGTCCCCTTCTCAGATTGCTTGCAGAAATTTTAGTGAGAATTGAGGAGTTGAGGGGGAAATTCTAACCAGCCTGACTCTGGCAGGATGATCATCTCGAGGATCGATCAGAGCGACACGAGAAGACACGTACAACTAATTTACTTGCGCACAAGGTAAGGGTCAAATTGGATTCTTTATAGTGGTCTCTGATATGCAAGCTTGGGTATTTCTATCATCTCGCTATGTTCTCCTTGGGTTGCGCTTTCACTGTTATGCGTCCTCCTTCACATTTCTTCTATGTACAATCAAAACATGTTCCTCAAAAGAAATCACAAATTTTGAGTTCTCCTATTATTGAACTTGTTGTTCTCATTTTTTATGTCCTGTAGTCTCCATTGATTGTGACGTATTCATGACTATATGAAGTTAGTCTTTGTCTCGTCAGTGTGGGCGTTGGGGTCCTACCTGAAATCACAAGTCCAGTACACTGCCTCCTCCTTTCCACCACCAAGTTTTATCAAGATTTCGAGATCTTCATGTTCCAAGATTTCAGCAGCGCGAGCCTCGTCCACTGATTCTGGCTCTCCGTTTACAAGAAGCTTAAGTTCTGGTGAGCCATCTGAGGGAATGAATGAGACACTAGTCTTCTCAGGGATGATTTCTGGAACCTCATTTATGGGCTCGCCTGGTTCCGAGATTTGGGAATAGCCAGTAGCACAGAGAATACGGCCCCAGTTTGCATCTTTACCATACAATGCAGTCTTTACTAGGGGAGATCTTGCGATCGTGCTGGCAATTTTGCGTGCTCCAATTTCTGATGGGGCCTCTGTTACACGAATGGTGACAAACTTAGTGGCACCTTCACCATCGCGAACTACAAGCTTGGCAAGATCTGTAGCGAACTCGGTCAAAACTTTCTGGAATGCAGCATGATCTTCAGAAGATTCAGAAGTAACCTCTTTTCCTCCAGCTGCTCCATTTGCCAATACAGCAACAGTGTCATTCGTAGAAGTATCGCCATCAATAGAGATGCTATTGAATGACTTGTTAACGGCCTTTGTAAGTAGGGATGGCAGTAATGCAGGTGCGATGGGAGCATCTGTTGCGATCATTCCTAATAAAGTAGCCATGTTTGGGTGAATCATTCCGGCACCTTTTGTCATACCAGCCATCCTGTATTCCACTTCTGGGGAAGAGGGTAAGGAGAATGTTCGGGATAAGAGCTTTGGAAACGTGTCGGTGGTACAGATCGCGGTTGCAGTCGCCAACCAATGCTCGTGAGAACTTCCTAGACCATCAAATGCGGTAGGTATTTTGAGTAATATCTTCTGGATCGGCAGTCTGATATGAAAGGTTTAGTCAATTTTTAAGTGAAGTTAAGATTGAACAAGGTAGAAGCAGATCTTCGAACCTTTGACCAATTACACCAGTGCTCATCACTATTGAACTACCACCTTTACCATCACTTGGTGTGTCGAAACATCTGTCAGCTTCAGCACCCATCTTCTCAGCATCTTCCATTCCACCCTTTCCGGTCACAGCATTTGCACATCCTGAATTGATAATGACTGAACGGATTCCAGTATTGTTCCTTCTTTGTAGCATCTTCCTGCTCACAGTGACTGGAGCCGCTTGGAATTTGTTCTTTGTGAACACAGCTGCAGCCGCACATGGTGTCTCCGAGGCCAGGAAAGCAAGATCTGGTGTAGATTTGTTGGTCGGTTTAACTCCTACATGAGTTCCAGAAACCAAAAATCCTTTGGGGTATGTGCCACTTGTGGGAATGTATTTCAGCTTTGCGGCCGGTATCGTGCTCTCGGGGGGTGCAGAGTAGTATCGGATACTACTGATTGCGGGGTGATGGGAAGCTGTTGGTCTGATCAATCGAGCTACTGGAAGCTTTGTACATGCGTTGAGAGCCATTGCGTAAAGATGATGATCTACAAACTATCCTGCGAGGGCGATAATAACTCAATTGATTCAGAAAAGATCAGATCAATTGGCCTGCCTAGCACTTTATTTCAATACTAATAAAAGTACTCTCAACAGATAAGGAATTGACTCACCAGAAATTTTGAGCCTTGTGCGATACAAAGATCGGACCGCGGAGCTTATGCTACAAAGAGATTAGCGCCACCATATGACGACAAGGTTGTTAGTCATATTTGATAGGCTAGTCAATCAATCAGCCTTGCCTGCCTCGCCTCATGCGTTTACCATTTAAATATATATTTGACGGCAGGAAAGGAGTGTGACTTGGACGACATATAAATTTTCTAACATAATTAAACTCGAGAAAACCGATAATGTCTGCATAGCTGTGGCCTCGGCCGCACGCATTTGTTGCTTATTGAATCTCAACGACGAATTTAGATATTGAAATATATAAATCAATACCACATCAAATAAGCGCCATAATCCAATTTCCATCATGCCTCCAGCAAATAACCCACGGGGAAAGAAAGCACAGCAGAAAAAGCCCTTAAATACGTTTCCTTCAACGAAAAACAATGATGTCGCAAATGACTCACCAAAATCCCCCTATCAAGAGACCCAAGATGACGAGCTAATTGCTCTCGCCTCAATATACGGTGATGACTTTCGGCGTATTGAAACACATCACTCAGCATGGAAGGTTTGTAAATTCTCTTCACAACTGATGCATGACATATATCTAATTTTGTACAGAAATCAGAACCATCATTTGAAATATCTATCAAAACTTCTGATGAGGATTTCTCAGTGACTTTAGGAGTCACCCTAACCCTGACCTATCCCAAGTCGGCGCCATTGTTGACTTTAAAGAATACCGACGGTCTTCGAGAGTCTACTAAGTTTAAGCTTCAGAAGATTATCGAGACATTACCTAAAGAACTGGTCAAGGAGGAACAAGCCATGATTATGGAAATTGTTACTGCTTGTCAGGATGTTTTAGAGCAAGCTGCTGAAGCGAAAGCTGCAGGACGAGAACTGCCCACTTTACAAGAAGAGCGTGCAGCTCATGAAGCGGCTGCTGCTCAGATACTCGAAGATCAACGTTTAGAAGAAGAGAAGAAAAAAATGTTAGTATATTCCCTTTTCTTTCTTCCCCCTTTGGGATCAGCTGATCGCTCTCGGTATCTCAGAGTATCATCACCCCTCAAAAGTGCTAAATTTACGATAGGTTGGAATCCCAGGAAGAAGAGAGAATGCTTGGCTCATTGGTGCAAGATGAATTGAAAAGACAACGTGCAAAAGCAAAAGAGACAAAGCGAAAAAATCAACCTCCCCCTTCAATCACCGTCTCGAATTCTGTAATTGGAAAGATTACTCATGATCACGAGGTGCTAGATCGCCAAGTCTCAGTTCTGGATGCTGAGGGTAACCCGATATACTTTCAGGCGGTTACTGGTAAGTCATTTATTCGTCAAGGTCCTGTATCTCGTTGCTACACCGTAAGACCCGCAGTCAGCTCTCACGTCCCTTTATTGGTATTGAAGCAGACGTTGCTTGATACGAACTTGGGTGATCGTAGTGTCAAGGGACAATTGCAAGCGATGGAAAATGAATTAGAAAAGCTCAGGAGCATTAGACATGACAATATCCTTAATCTTCTAGATTTTAAGGTAGAAAAAGAAGAGTGAGTTTTTAGCTATTATTTTGTTACTACAGTTTCATTGAGTTTTCTGTGTAGCTGAAGTTGATTAATTTTGGGACGCATAGGAATGATTCTTCCTGGACTGTCAGTATCTTAAGCGAGTATGCTGAGAAAGGATCCTTGGAGGAATTCCTAGATATCGTTGAGAACATGAATGTCAACAAAGTTCGTTCATGGACTATAGAGCTACTGGATGCATTAAGATTCCTCCACGAAGAAAACGGAATTATTCACGAGGTAAACACATTTGTTATATTCCCATGTTCTTCGAGTACTGATGCTCCTCTTTCTAGGATATACATAGTGGAAATGTACTTCTTTTCCGGGAATCAGATGGAGTGGTCAGGCCAAAACTTGCTGATGCCGGATATCAACGAAAGCTACATGCTTTGAGTGGTAAGATAACAAAAAGAAAAATTGATAGCTCTGCCATGGCAAAATCTGCGCACTGGCTTCCTCCGGAAATTGCTAACTTGGGGGACGGCCTACGAACCGCGAAAACTGATATATGGGAGCTTGGTATCGTTTTTCTTCAGATGGCTTTTGGGTTGAACGTTTCTCGAAAATACTCATCTCCAAAAGCTATGCTAGACTCATTGGACTTATCTGACGCTTTACACGATTTTATGCTCAAACTATTCAATCCAGATCCGAAGAAACGGCCGCGAGCTTTCGCGCTCAGTAAGTGCTCCTCCTGTTTGCTTTAGTTTTTCGTTGAATCTCCATATTTTTTTTAAACCAACCTGACTAATTTGGATAGGTTCGTGTAAATTTCTTGTTACTGATGCTACCATAATGGACGAAGATACGTCTGCTATATTGTCGAGGATCGGATCAACATCATCGTTAGCACCCATAACACCACGTAGACCCCGACATGATTCCATGAGTCTCACAGGACCTTTTTCAAGATATGCTCATGATTTTGTCGAAGAGGGTCGCTTAGGAAAAGGAGGTTTTGGGGAGGTCGTAAAGGCAAGGCAAAAACTAGATGGACAGATATATGCCATCAAAAAGATTACTCAAAAATCGTCCGCTCAGCTAGATGATGTACTAAAAGAGGCTCGCCTACTCTCTCAGCTCAATCATCCTTCCGTTGTTCGTGAGTAATTGTTCCTTCGTATTTTCTACTACAGAACAAAACATTTGAGCCAAATTTGGAAGTCATATCAACATAATTCTCGATCCCCTGAATGTAAGGAGTGGGCTAGAGAAAGATGTTCCAATCATAGTATTTCCTTGGCCCCAGTTTGGTGCTTACGCTCTCTTAGGTTACTTTAGTACATGGACGGAGGAAGTTCCAGATCTTTCCGAAACAGACGATGA